GGTTAAGGATAGTACGGGGCTAAGCAAAGTACGGGGTTAAGCAAAACCAGTGTGAAAAGAGTATTAGGGTACGTTTTGATTCAGGGTGGGGAGATATCTAAAAGACATGATAATGAACAAATGAGACAGAGCGATGTTGATCTCTTTTACAAACTGAGTTCCTTTCCACCTTCCTCTTTCTTAGAAAGTATAGAATGAAATCTATATAAAAAATAACACCCTATATCCTCTACATTCAACATTCATTATTACAGCCTTCTTCAAAACAGGTAACTTCTGTGAATACCAAAACAGACCCATAGAAAATAGGAGCAACCTGGTATGGAAACTTGAACAATTAAGTGTGTTAGTTTCAACTCCAATATCACCTTCTTTGAAGTTCTTTCACTGCATGTAGTACAGTATGTCACGGTCATCTACCCTACCAACAAAACTTATTCAGTCTCATCTTACATCTTGATGAACACTTCAAAGAAACAAGGCCAGCTAGAGGCATCTAAACTCAAAACAGTCCTACAGATTTCCCTGAACTTGAAGTTCAAGCAATAAGAAAAGGGTTATTTTAGGTGCACTTTCGTGGAGACTGAACCAGAAAACGAGGGCAGGGCCATCACGGCTTCTCAGAAGATGTTTTGTTTGTGTATAGCACGTGTGAATGAAGCTCCGAAGGGCCCAGGAATGCGGGTCCCTCGAAGGTTAGGGCACGGTTCTGTACTTGCCAAATACTTAAGGTATTCCAATAAAATGAAAATAGTCATAAAATCTGGGGCAGGTCGATGAAGAAAAAAAGTACTAGTAGTGATATGAAGGGAAAATGAAAGGTATACCCTTACAATCGTTACATGCACAATTTAATATACAGAATAAATAATACAGAATATAATATCTTTTATTTTCATGATCTTACTAGTACTCAAGCTATACCACTGCCATTACTGCACATCTTCATCATGTCTAAACTTTCAAAGGAAAATATTTTGATGTCATTCTACACAAGCAATAAATATTTGTCTTGCATAGGCTTGTGGGTTCTGTGCTGATGTGCAATTGAGGGAAATCTATTCCATCTCTCTTTCGATGCGGTCATAAGGGCCTGGGCCCAAGCTGATAACTACCATTGTTACACCCAGCTGCGCTATCGCACAATACATTTCCCTTATCGTCATGGTAACAGAGCCCCTCCCATGTCTGGTGAAGGTCTATGATATTAGAAGACTTCCTGTCTGTAACGAACAGGGCAGGTCTAGATAACGTCTTCACTCACGAGACTGTCCTGGGAAGAAAAATATGGTTCTATCGACAAACTTAGACTCGAGTCCTAGTAAACATCCAAAAAATAGAATTATCATAGAATCCCAAAATGTGCAAAATGTGCAAAAGCAGCAACAAAAACAAAACAAAATACCACTGCCAGTTTCTACTGGAAGTGCATACAAATTAAATGATTAACAAAGAAAAATCAAGATATCAGGCAAAATCAGCATAATTTGTGCTAGTGCTTTAAATACAAATAATAAAATCTTGACCATCATCATTTCTTATGCGGGTTCAAAGATGCATGATAAACATTTAAGAATAATCGTAAGTTGTTTTTGAGAATTTTTTTATTTCATCAAAAGAACTCAAATACAGATGTAATAGGCCTAATATATACAAAGAGAAAATTGAGCCAAACATATCATCAAAATCCTGTGATTTCATCCGGTGACATGAGAGATAAAGGAGTCATCCCTCTGAATCTGATAATTATGTCATCACTCCCAATCTCTAGTGGGTACAGACCCTCTTCAAGAGCCTTGAAAAGCTATGAGGCAAGCCTACCCACAAGCAAACCACGCAGAAAACACATTGAAAGTGAAAGCATAATTGTATATTAATAGACCTACGGTATACAACTCCTCATGATCTGGTAGTTGTAGTACTAGTTTCATGACGTGAACCTATTCAAGTGAAATTGATCTATATCAATCTAAACCTCATCAAAGATTAGAGATGAATAAGATCGGGGCCCTGATTCATGAATCATGTGATCAGTAACAACCGACACATATCAATGACGAATCTGCTCATAACCATTGAAATCCAGTGATTACAGTAGATTATATGAATTATTGTAACTTGTTATCGATTACAAGTTTTGTGAAGTAGGAACCGCGAATCAACCAACTTCACATAAAAACAATATCGGTATCCAAGCATCCAACCCTATCCCTAAATCTGCTTCATGTTATTTTTCTTTGGCAGGGGGGGGGGGGGGGGGGAGGGGGTCCCAGGTTACAATATCATAAATATCTCACTCATTAAAAAATTGAGTTCAGGTCATGTCTCTAAAAAAATATGGTATTTCAAATTGACACACTTTGGCGAAAACAGTTTCCCCCACCAAAAAGTCAAATAATAATAATAATAATAATAATAATAATAATAATAATAATAATAATAATAATAATAAATGAATAAATAAATAAATAAATAAATAAATAATGAATAAATAAATAAATAAATAAATAAGAAAAATGAGCCCATTTATAACCCATATTTAACATATTCCCAAGACTAATTCAATATGATCCACCTTGTGGCTATGCATCCTCTAAACACATGACATCCAATATAGGGAGGGGCACTCCTAATCCCACTTTAACCCCATGAAAAGGGCAACACCCAACTGTATACAATCAAATGATAACCATGAATACTGTCTCTGGTACGGCACATTGTGATAAAATGTTTTTTGTTGTCATTGTGGATTTCATTATAAGATTTATTTCAATATAACCATTACAAAAACAACAAGAAATCTCCCAATTACCTTATTGCCAAACCTTTGCAGTTCACTCACTGCAAGCAATTCACACTGGGTGTGAAACACATTGGAAAATGCCTTCAGTCATGTGACCACACCCCCTCCAAAAATAAAATAAAAACACATCCAACTGAGCAATGGGAATGTGTTTATGATTGACAACAAGGAGTGGAAACATTTTCTTAAGAAGCTGACTAAATGCCAGACTCAATTGCATCAGTCGGGTTCAACAATGGTTGAAAACATTCGAAGAGAGAAAGGGGAAAGAGCTGACTAATAGAGAGAAGTTTGGTTGCAAAATAAACATGTTTTGCACTTGTAGGTGAGACAGGAATGTTTGTCTGAAACTTGGTGGCCATGACTTACTTTCAAAGAATGTGTTCATTCTGGCAAGGTTTTAAAAGTAAATTAACGAAATCCCTAGGTGTTTTGATGAATTTAACCACTGCCAGTGCCAGAACTTAAACGATATTTCAAAAAACATGGCGGAAACATTTTGATAAACAGATGGTAAAAATACCATGCAGTACACTTAAGATGGAGCATGTATTTTATAACTCAATCATCAAGGAAAGAAGTATGACCATTTACCATTTAAAATAGCTCAAAGGTCAAAGTGTGAACTTGCATTGATGCACAATCCTGATGAGGGGATTTTCATGCATTTTTTCTTGGGAGCTAGCTAAATGACCTTCAAAACCATTAAATGAATGAATAAAACCCATATATCCACTGCTAATGATCAAATTTTGCATGATTAACATTACTCTAACGATCAGGAAAAGTATAAAGATCACACGTCCATCAACATTTGGGCTCATTAGTAAACGTAGACCATCATAAATACCAAATTACTGCCACCAATAATCGATTATCACTATCATAATCAAAAATTAATTTCTCACACTTCAAAAACATTACAATTTCATCATCATCATGAAGAACTATTTAACCTCCTTTAATTCACAGAAAGCTCATAAATATTGTATATAGCCCTTGATGTGATCCCATCACAAGTTTTAAAGTTTGTAAACAACCCTCTTTCAAAGTGTTGTATCCAGCAGGTTGGGGAAGGGGGGCCAACATTTGCTGCCCCTACCAAAAGACGTTAAAAGATGGGAGTTGTTGCTACCGCGTTTGGCGTTCAACAATAAGGGATAGAGCAACGTCGATCTGGCGCTGCTCAGTGGCTGCCGGGCTCACGATCAATTGGGCAAAAAGAATTTCCGTTTCGGTTTAATAAAATTTGGAGTGGACTAGGCTATTATTATTATTGTTCATCATTTTAGTTCAGATGATACTGTTTTCATCTGATATTTTCGTATCAAGGAGACTTCAATGCTTTGATTTTGAAGATGACTTTCAACCTGGTTCCACGATCATACTGATATTTATTTGAAGTTCATCTTTTGTGCTCAAGAAAAGAGCAAATTTGCTAAAGACGGACTCGAAATGATATGAAAACACGAAGATGAATCATGTACAGCATTCCACATGTGATTGACAAGTATACTCAAACAACTGCCATTCAGTTCTGCAAATCAACAACGTACATCGTCATGGCGATGACGCATCAATCACATACATTCAGCCTCACATGCATATGTTCACCAGGAAAAGAGGGATTTCGTGGCCTGCCAGCACTAATATTTCAAATCTCTTGATCAGTATTTTGGCATGTATTGCCGACTGAAGTACACCTAAAGATCGGGAGGAAGATGATACCTCCTGATGAAATGAATTGTAAACAGGCTTTAACAGAATTGAATCTAGCTGGCAACAAAATTGATGGGTTATCAAATATTAATACTAGCCCAAGTATTGATTTTACAGCTGCACGTACAGGTCCTCATACATTTATATATACTGTATGTTTGACTTGGGGTTGTACTTGCAGATGAATATCAAGACATCCATAATATCTATGAATCTATGCAGTCTGTTTCTTTTAATACAGTGAAGTATTAGTAAATGCAAGATAGAAATGAATATAATTTGCAGATCTGAGCATTTAATTTTTTTAATATACAGCACATTGCAAGGATTTAAACATGATTAAAAACTTATTTATTTCCTTTTTTCGTTGTAATACATTATAACAGCAGATTCCAACAATTACCATTTAATATAATAGTCATTTATTTCCTCCCTTATTTCCATAGTTTACTTTAATTAACCTTTTTAACCTTCTTACCTTAGCATCACCATCCTGATCTAGCAGGACATTCTCAAGCTTTAGATCGCGGTGGACGATATTATTCTGAAAAAGACAAACAAAAACAAAGAAATAAGATTAATATTTTAAATGTATGACAGGAAAGGTAGCTTCATCATCTACATTCTTCCTAATAGGAAGGAAAAGTTTTTGGTTTGTATTCTTCACCATGTCTAGCTATACCATGATTACTTCGAATTAGTCCATGATCTTGTTACCACAGACCCCGAGGCCTTGACTTTGTACATAGTAATTCTGCCAGAGAGACTGGCAGGGTTAACCACATAAAGTGATCATCACTCTCAAGTCTACCAACCAGTCGCCAAAAAAGGGAGGAAAAAAAAAGAGAAATTCATAGGCCTGTATTTTCCTAAACCTCAAACCCAATGCTCTTTGCTGGGTTTAAAGCTCAGTCGGCAGTCATTCAAGTAAAGGAAGTTCTAGACTGGTATATCAGGAAAAATCAATTCATCAAAGCTAAATGTTTAACATAACATTTGGGGTGATGACCCAGGGCACAGGATGATGACCCAGGGCATAGGATGATGACCCAGGGCATAGGATGATGAAAGGAACTTGAGTCAAATTGGTCTACACTTTTTGCAGGAGATTGCCAAATACAAAGCTATACATAATTATAGTTGTGTATTCCATGAATCCTAAATGAAGAAACAAAATTGATTAAACCTCTACTCTGATAACATCTCTAACAAAGTAATCTACCTTGCCTTTGTATGTTGTTGCACTGTCAGGCAGCTATAGGGCTAGCTTTCTGTCATCAATATAGAGCCTATAACCATGGACCTCTGCTATAACTATATACTTCTCTGAAAAGGATGACATATATATATATATATATAATCCCATATGGTACACATTCACCGTGTTACATTCTCTTTTAACAGAATACAACAATGGACAAAGGGTTTGTGAACCTTCTGAATGTAGAGGACCAATTCCACCTAGCTAGACAACACAATATATGACTCATGATGTAAACCATAACTCTTTGAGGTTACTGGGCCAATGAGCCATCTTGTGGCTTCAGAGAAGGTAAGAGTCATCAAGACCAATTAAAGAGCCCCTAAAAGCTTTGTTTGAATTCCAGTTAAGTCTCATAGTTGCCCTCTTATATCCAGTAACACTTCTTTGTAGCCGAGTTTTCTTCGGCTTGTTTGACATGTTTGCAGATACTTGCTAAGACCTTACAGTTCCACTAGACCTGTATTTAGTAACACTTCTTTGAAGCCGAGCTAATTTTGGCTTGCTTGTTGACACAACTTACTTTGTTCAACATTGTCTTATTTATTTGCCCTTTAAAAATTATGGGGAAATCACGGGGACACTTGTGACCCAATGACCTCGGTCAACTTTCATTGATAGAGACAAAAAAAAATCAATTACTTTTTTAATAATTAAATAAACCGTGTGGTCTTCACACAATATTTATTAAAGTTACATGAACATGTTAGAAGGCTTTAATGAGACAAATGACCAAGAACCATGATGATCTCATGATGATGATGACGATGTGGTTAAGTGTTAAAGAAGAAATTCCTTATTGTACTAAAGAACAAACACAAACAATTTCAATGTCTTGTGCCTCTAGTAAGCTATGGGTTGAAAAAAAAAAGACAAATGTAGAACCTTACCAATCTTCATGGTATATATTGCCGTTCTCCCATGATTATGAGTTATTACATGTCTAACAAATGATGGCTCTTTGATGCCTTTTGTGATAAGCTTATCCACTGCACCATTGTTAAACTGGAAAGTAGCACATTTCAGAGAGTTCACATTTCATTGTGCCTGCCTGCCTTAGGATAAAACCTGACAACAACTGAATTGCAAGTCCAAGATTAGTCCTGACTACTAAAAGAAGGCAATCACAAAGAAATACTTGAAATCAGACACCATTCTTAACGCAGAACAGAATGCAGAATCGTTTCTCAAAAAGGAAATACCATTAGTTTGATCCTTCTGAAATCAAATGAAAATATGGACATTCTTTGAATACTTGAAGTCTTGAACAAGTGTTGATCGTTCATGGACAAGTTTAGAAAATGAATGAAGACTGACCACCACCAGCAAAGATTGAAATAGCCTCAAGTCCAAGAAAAGGTCGAATGGGGTCATGGATAGTGACAAGATCAGGGCCAAGGCTTACTACCAAGTCCAAAGAGACTGGTAGGCCAGGTATGGTTTATTGTCTTTTCGATTGATCTTGGACCAGCAGAAACACTCCTTCAATTTTTTTTTAAACGTTCTTCTATGAATAAGTACTATGCAGAATAGAAAACAAGAACTGAAAATAAAGGAAGACTGATTGAAGTCGCATATTACATTTTTCTTATTATTATCGGCTAAGAACCAGAAGGGTGTTCACACAAGATACAATATTAACAATCTTTAATAGTTGCTCTAATAACAGAAAATGTCTGCAATTTTCTATACTGCTGTGAACTGCATTTCATCTCTTCTGTACCACAATCAAAGTTGTTTGATGCTTATCTTCAGATTACAATTATTATACTCTTCATTTCCTCCATTGTTTAGGTAAATTGTACCCTACAAAGTACTAGAAACAGTATGATCCAGACCATCTAAATTCCTTCTGAATTACATTTTGAATAATTTTTCCTTGTATCAATGCCAAGGTAGAAGAAATTACCGGTTATATCTGTTCAAATAGGTCAAGAATATACTGGTTTAAAAAACAAAATGAATATCAGGATGAGTTTATTACTACATTTCTTGAAAAGGAAATGAAACTACTGAAAAGGAGGATTGTAAACTTGAGAAAATCAAAGTGGGTGTCCCACACAGTGATAAATGGAAACTTTGTATCCTTTCAAGATCACATTTGTTTTCATTGACCATGAATATACCATAAATAAAACACATTACATTTCATATTTCATACAATTAAGGCATTGTACTTGACACTTTATAACGCAGGCATCATACAAGTTCTGGAACCTGTCAAATCCCAGTTCCTCTAAACTTTGTAGACAAAGTAAAGAATGATTTTCCTCCAGGGGACCACAAGATTACTGGCAGCGGAAACCACCTGATTCCCTTTCACTTTTCATGGTCGTCTTCAGAAACTAGACTTCAATCCAGGCAAAATCAGCTGGAGTTGACTTTTTTGATTCACCTCTAGCCTCACTCCCAGATAAGAATATCTTCTCATCTCTTTTCTCTGTTCTAGCATGAGATTTCATGGAACATAACGGAGGCAAATGTCAAATCCCCAACAATGAACACACCCTGCTGTACAGTGCTACCCTGGAATATGCCAAGCCAAGACTTCTGTTTGTTTCTCTCAATCAACTCCCCCCTCCCCCCTTTGTTTGTCAATATATCAACAGTGATTAGGAGGTCAACCCTATGACATCATAACTATGACTCATGCCAGGTGTCCCCTAGCAGAGGGAATACAGCTAACTGAAAGTACGGTCTCAATGAATGGTGTCATGGCATGCTACAATTACAAGAGATAGGCATACAGCCATACCCTTTTATCCAATTTATAAAGCTGGTTTATTTGACAGAGGCAGTATAAAGCCAGGCTACATGTTCATCTATGACATCATAATAGTTCACAAAGAGAGCTTCCATCTAATATTAATCTGAAAATCTTGGAAAGTTAAAGGTCCACTGCACTACTTATACATGTAGCTACTTGCGCCCTCTATATAACAAACACTGCCTAATCGGTGACCATTGGTCTCCCATGATCCTCTTTTTCTTATGTTTAATTGGGGAGCTGAGTTGATGAGATAACCTGTCCAGTGACCTTGCAGGGTGGTCTAATCTCTCCTGTACACTAGTACAAATGGGCTTTAATGCTAAAAATGTGTATTCTTTCACTCAAAACTTCTTCTTAAGATAATTGCTAGATTCAAGTTAGAGCAATTGAGGAGTTCTTGTCTTGTCTTCTGTTATGATGTCCTTGTGGAAATTAACCGTTTATTTAAAAGGATTCCTATTGAATAATCTCAGTCATGACATACATGTATGTCAGTATCTATTTTGATATACCTTTTTTAAATATATATAAATGCATTGTATTATAAAATATGTTGTTCAGAAATGAAATGTGATGTTATTTTTAATTTGATCGTAAATTGTCATGTAATTCAGCTGAAGCTGCGATATGATAATAAAACAAACTGAACTGAAAAAAAATCAAAGCCGAGAAGTCCCTTTTTAACTCGGCTAGAGTAAACTGAGGCCAGACAATCAAAAGAAATCTACAGGGAACCATTTCTCCAGTCCAGACGCAGTTCAACTCCAAGGCCACATATCTGGCATAGCTCTTCCTTCAAAGCTCTCTTCACATCTCATGAAAAGATGCCAGCAGAGATGGTCCAACAAGACTTGCTCCAGAAACATTTGTTCTGATGACACTTGCTCTGGCGACAATAGCTCTTGTAACATTCTCTCTCGTAGTGTCATTACAGGCTTTAGTATGTCAAAGATACAGGATGCTGGAGGGTGTTCCATAAAGCTGTTCGTAAAGTTAGGCATGACTATACGAATGACTTATATATGAAAAGCCAAATGCGATGCTCAATCATTTTTTAACTGCATCAACTTAAGTTGAACTGTGCAGATGTAGATTAACATTCTTATTATAGCAAACATTTTTACTACAATGTATATTGTAATGTTTACCATAATTTAATTGAGGTTATTGGAAATATAGTCACACTTTGTGAAAACATCTATATCGGCAAGTCATTGTCAGTATCTACATGTAGGCCTACATTTGCAACCCAGGCGAACAAGGAGAATCAGGGATAATATTATTTAAATTAATTCCTACTGCAATACAACGACATTACTCACGCTATACATGTTATTTGCCTGCATATGTTTTCACCAACATACATATATATAATTTCAAAAACTTATATCATCAGAGATATATAGGTGAAATAGTTTGAGTTCATGGGACCTATTGAACCCTAAAAGGAGGAGTACTGATGTTTGTTTTTTTAAATTCAAATTATATAAGTAAGATCTTAAATTCTTAAACATTTTCTGGGAGTTCCATGAGAGAGCATAACTTTAACTTGAGCATTACACATTGCAGCTCAGTTGCTTCCCGCAGATGCATATATGGGGCCCCAACCACTAGCCCACCCTTAAGGGGTCACATCAGGTGTACTGCCACATACAGTCATCAATTAATCCATCATTTTCTGTTAGAGTGAGAGAAACTTGAGGCCGTGCCAAGAACATGGCTGGATCACTAACCAGCGGGTAATGTATGAAGGAAAGGTTATAAAAGTGTTACCTCTATTCAAGGCAGAATGAGTTTTCATTTGCCTCAGTGAAAATGAGTTGGACCAAGTCTGGAACATGTAGACTACACATTTCTATATCACGAGGGTTCAGTAGCATGAGTAAATAGTCTACTAACAATATTCCAGGTTTGATGAAACTTGTTGGATTGAGCAGAAGCAGAAGTAGGAGGAGAAGGAACTCGTCCTGCATGCAAGCTATGAAGTAAGGCTATTTGAATGCTTCACCTAGCATGAGAGGCATTTCACAGAGACTTGGAGCCTTGCAAACCTCAGAAAATCGCACAATTGGACCACAGTAATAGTGAATCAAGGGTGAAGGCCTACATGTATACCAAACAGACAGATGATACTAATTGAAATAGGATGCCTGTAAACCTCAGAAAGCAGTCAGAATCTACCACCGAATGACTGAACTGTTAATGCATGCATACCATGCCACTAACAGGAAACAAACTGATAACCTGTCATGAGAAAAACCACAAAAGGCAGGAAAAGATGGAAGTAACCACATCTATCCTTCCCTCTTCTGTATCTACTCCCCTTCCCCTTCCCCCTCTCCTCTTTGGCAACCGCAGTTCCCTTTCCTTTCATTTTCTGCTGAAATCACTTTCACCATGAGTCAAAGTCAGTGGGAGGTTTTCTGTCTGGATCCATCATGCAAAATGAATTTATACGGATTAAATTCAGAGTTTATCAGTATTTGCCAAAAGCTTAGACCCCTGTTACACATACGTCTGAAAGTGGACTGAGGCAGACTTAGTCCACCTCTGGATGTGGTTTGAGGCCGGCCTCAGTCCCGCAATCAGTAGGTGTAACACCAAAGTGGACTCGGGGCCGGCTTATAAGCGGAAGTGACGTGACCTGTCATCATAATCAACATAATACCCTTCTCTTATGTTAATCTTTGTTTTTTATCATTCTATCACTTTCTCTTTCTGTCTTTCCTTATATTATTCTTTGTTTCTATCATTCTATCACTTTCTCTTTCTGTCTTTCCTTATGTTATTCTTTGTTTCTTCCTTCTATCACCTTCTCTCATGTTTTTCTTAGTTTTTATCATTCTATCACTTTCTCTTTCTGTCTTTCTGGAGTCCGCCCCAACGTCAGCTCGTGAAAAGGCGACGTGAGGCAGGCCTATATGTAGACGCAAAATTGCGGGCCCGAGATCATGTGTAACAGGGGTTTGATGATCTCGAGGCGGCTTCAAATTGCAGGCGTGAGGCTGCCTCCGGGGCCGCTTTATAAGCCAACGCATGTGTAACAGGGGTCTAAGTCCAATGTAACTCTCTGAGCAAAATGCAAACCGCAAATTCAATCAACAAGGCCCTATCGATATTCTGTTACTGTTAGTTTAATAGGAGAATCTTGAATGACATAGACAAGGATAATTTTTGTCAAATGTACCAAACAAAATTTGAAAATGGACATACTGGAAATACAATTGCTATCCACCCTGGGGGATGTTTCACAAAGATCCTAAGTTGAACTTATCTCTAAGTTGGACTTAATAATTATAGAAAGCCGTTAGCATCCTTGAAAATATTTTGTGAAAATTATTTTAAAAGGCATAACATGTTGATTGAAATCATTCATATTTTCTATCATCATGGGAGATTTCATGTTCTTGATGTGGAATTTATGAAAAGTCTAAAATACCAGAACCCTATTTTTGCTCTTACACGCCTTGTAATCTTGGCATTTTAGCTCCATGTGCAGCTGATACAGCACCAGTGAGTGGTGCAAAGGGACATGACACTAATGAAATTTGGCATGAACCTGAGCAGATTGTTGTGGGTATACCTGCACGGTGTTGATTGATCTCTTGTTATGGCTTCGATTTTTTACCATGAGTCAGTTACACTCTCAGGGAAACTATAATGTAACTATAACCTCCCATTATAAAAACTTACTACTCTGCTATAAATCTGTTTCATTGTTCTCTAAGAATATGTTGGTGTACCAACTTTACACACCATCACCCATCCAAATCACAGACAAAATCACTTCAGAATAATCAGTGGAAATTTGTTCCTGCTCAGCTGACATTTCTCTGCCGAGTTCATCTATCTGAATTTAAGTTGATACATTCTGTCACGTTCCTATTCCCCACTCCTATCCATCTCTTCCTTTGCTTCGTCCCAACTTCTTATATGCTATCTGCCACCATCCTCTGACAGATTCATGCCACATGTGAAATTACTGGTATGTTGCGGTTCTCAGACCCTTTCACACCTTGCGCTGTATACCTAAACGAATAGGAGGATGTCTTGAAGTGCAGGGTATGTCCAAATACAAAATCAAACTGAGAAGTTTTCAACCCCTTCCCCGCCCCCCTTCTTCTACTTCCATTCCTCCCTTCCCCCTTTCCCTTCCTCCCCGAATCCTCCCATCATTCTATCACAAAGAAACATCTCGTCTACAACCACATTCCCACTGCAACAAATTCAATAAAGCTATTGTCTAAACTTGGAAAAGGTGTGGTGTAAATGCTCCTATTGTGACCATCAGGGGAACATATCCGTTCACATCAGGGTGTACATTATATACATGTATCTTACCAGATGGCAGTAGGCCAGTGCGGAGACGATTTGTCTGAAGAGTCTCTGTATCTCTCCCATCGGGATGCTGCTGCTGTCAATGAACTCGTACAACTCCCCACCGCTGGCATACTCGAGTACAATCACAATCTTCTCCTTGCTCTCAAACACTGCAACGAGGGAGAGGGAGAGAGAGGGACAGAGACAGAGAGAGAGAGAGAGAGAGAGAGAGAGAGAGAGAAACAAAGCATGTTGTTAATTCAAAGCCCCACAAGTTCAACGTTCATATTTTATCGATACATATTTTTTAAAGAATGCTTGGAAACCTTCAAATACTTTTCTAATCATCAAAATTTTCATAAAAATACTTTGAACATGCTTGCAAGTAAATCATAACATATTTAGAAGTGGTGTCATTTTCTAAGTCAAAATTGGCTATTTGTTTCGGGTAGCATTTCTTCCAGAGCTGTTTTGGCAAAACGTAAAGTTCCAGAGCTTAATCTTTTTCCACTTCCCACTTGCTTTTCCATTATGTATGGAAGCCCCTCTGTATAGCAATACAATTACACATTACCCATACAGGTGCAAGCATTTCTGCGGTATTACTTTTTGTATCATAAACACTTTTTAAGGAAAGGCAAAGTGAAAAATCAATTATGAATCATAGTGGAGAAAAAAATCCAGGCGGAAAAAACAGATTTCAGGTTGAAAGCACCAGCTGCACTATACTGACATCATAAAAAAGGGAAATCCCCAATGTAAAGGATATATGCAACCTGCAAAGAATGTCAATACTTCATCCATTCATTCAACTGAAATTAATAACATGTTTGAAAACAAATACAAAGCGAGTTTCTAAATCCTTGACTACTTGTCAATATTGGCTGAAGCATTATTGATAGTGATAGTCAGGAGATGGAAGGGAAAATTAGGGAAATGATCAACAGACCAAGGAATAAAGAATTAACATCAGAAAAAAGGCAAGCTTGGGGATTTTGGGGCGGATTGTTTGCATGTTAAACCAAGCATGACTCATCGATGATCAATGTAATTGCCAGTGTATCTACTTCCGAATTAATCAGTTAATTGGTAAATGCCCTGACAACAGGCCTAAACACAAGCACAGACACACTGGCGATGGAATAGCTTTTATACACAGCTGGGTAACTTCTTGGTTTGAGCATGGACCTAATAAGGTCCATGGTTTGAGCAAGGAAATGTAATGCGTTACTTTCCAGACTTAGGTCCAAGGAGTAACTGTCATACAGTACAAATTGCAGTACAGTTTTGGGGTAAAGGCCACAAATATTTCTACTATAAAATAATGATAGTAAAATGACTTGTAGACCTTTCTAAAAAAAGAAGGGGATATGTTTGATACATTGGAAATAAGTAGATATTGATCCTTTCTTTTTCATCAGGGATTATTAATGTTCTCTTACTTTATTAAAGTATGAATAACTAGAGGTATTAAAGAATCTCAAGGAAATATGCAAATTCATATTTTTTCTTAGTAATGTTTCAATTCAGGAATTAGCATCAGAGGGGAAAAAATACAATGAATGAAAGTCTTCTACAGTGAAATAAGAAAAGCAATGAGATATATTCTAGACGGATCTAGACGGATCTAGACGGATCACAATTCAGCTGCAGTTTGAACATTCACCCCCTCCCCCCTCCTGCCCCCTTCCTTGATCATGCCCTTATTACTTTTGCTGTGCTTGGATTCCCTAATTCTGTGATTCACACGTCTTTCCATGTCCAGGGCCCCTACTTAACGACGGCGGTTAGATTGGTACCATTGGATGAGATGACACAATGGAATGAGTCAAATTACACACGAATGATGATTCATCGTCCATGCCTCATAATCATCAAATAAGTCCTCTCTACCAACCATGCTCATTAATCCTCTTCCTTTCACGCCCAAGATGTGCAATATCATTCTCCCAAATAACGAATATTACATTTACCTGTCAGGGAAAAAATTAATTTAAAAAAAATGAAAATAACACTCTTTAATTTGTTTAGCAAAGAACTCTATGCAAATTTTGGGGCTCTTTTGGGCATTTCGGGGGCTAATTCGCCCCAAGCCCCAATGTATTTTCCCCCCTGATACCTGTTTATTGCTTGGTGTAAGAGTCATTGTAATATTTGAGCAGTTGGCGCTTTAGCTTTAGCAGGCCCAACGGCTTCCTTTGAAGAAGGAAAAAAAAAATCTGTCACCAACACACTATCATCCTCTCCTTTCTCCCCCCCCCCCCCCCTAACCCAACCCCAATTATGGAATGTAATCTCTTGGTATAGGGCTAGGCTTACAGGTGTCATGGTTAAATACTTGTATGAAATAAATAATCTTTGTTTTTCAGAGTTCAGACCATAAAACAATCTCAACCAAAAATTTCTGCATATCATTCATTTTATTTTCATTTTCATTTGTTTATTCTTTTAATATCTTGGTCACAGTCACACCCATTTGCTTTCTAAATATGGAATACCGTGATGCGTGGGTGAAATAAACTTATTACAGAACTTGCCATAAAAATACTCCATTCAATGTTTGCCTTATTCATTTTACCACGCAACTAGAGCAAACAAAGTTGATTTTTAAGAGCCCATTGTATTTACACAAGCCCATGAGCTCCGGAATTGTATGCGACCTTTAACCTTAATGGGTAAGTGCTGGCAACACCTCCATTTCAAAAAGAAATTGGCAGCAGGAAAGGTTAGAATGGGGATGTTTCTTTTGAAATGGAATTTGGAGAAGAAAAAAAAATAATAAAAAGGACATAGTTCCACAGACTTGTTGGAGTGGGCTACCGCAGACTGTCGTCTAGACTTAACAATGTGGTTTGACAGAAGTACATAGTTTGGGAGTGACACAATTTAATCCTAATCAGTCTGCCATGCCAAAAACACCCTTGTTTGTCCCAAAACATGATTTAGATTTACATGAAATAAATCTGCCATTCAACTCACAACCGACTCGAGACTCAAGAGACTTGCTCTACCGTGAACTATCAGAAGAAAATGGAAAACATGAATCATTCAAATTATGAGTCGATTAAGTTTAACACTCCTCAAAAGTGTATCCAGAGGGAATATATACAGTACATCCATATGGCAGCTGGATATTTTCTTTTCACTGTAAAAAAAAAGGCCTTAAGTAATACGTCATTGAAGGTAGATAAACAACTGTACAAGTAAACAATTTCTTTCAACCATTATACCACAACTGTCCTTGAGTTAATCTTGATTTGTTGTTTTTTGTTTACAGCTAGGTGAAGTCAACTTTGATCAAGTGAATAATCATGTGTGAGATTTGTTCTTCTTCTTTTCTTACCTTCGTATATATTAACAATGTTTGGATGATCGAGGGTTGACATAAGTTCAATTTCTTGACGGATCCTTCTCATGTCTTCTGGGTCTTCTATCTTGTTCTTTGGAATGGACTTGATTGCAACCTGAAGAAAAAACATCAAAAATATTGATAGAATCATTAGATTATTTATTACCAGTAAGTGAAATATATAAAATCAGTCTACCGGTACATCAGAAGAGCCTGACAGAATAGAGATATGTATGTGTACTCTTGTATATTGTCTCTCATCATACTGCGGGGTTCACTACCCTTGTCACAGAACATCACACATGTGCACAATATGTGCACCATCTCTATGCCCTGCTGAAGCTGAGTACCCCGTTATGTACAGTGTACGTGCATGTAAAATGTATGTGTATAACTTTTGGTTTTCTTAGACCACTTTCATAGCACCATATCTATGTAGAGCAAACCCTGAGATAAAGAACAACACAAATTATTCTCCTTCCATGAACTATCAACAAGTATAAAGACCAGGCTTGTTTGTAACTTATACAAAAGCCAGGGGGCAGAAAGAGCAATACAAGTGATCATTTAGTGTACATTCTGGGAACTTCGACCCTGAAAGTTTCTATAGATTAGTATTTTAACATTATTTGAATAGCGCCTTCTTTCCTCTTTATTACAAAGAATGAAATCCCCTGCCCAGACTACTGGACAAAAGCACCTACTATTTACAGAGTTGTTAACCCCCTTTTTCATAGAAAAGAGTCACTAAACCAGCTCACAAATGTTTGCAAGTTCTCCAAAATTTGAAGAAAGTAAAGCCATCACGGTCAATCCATGTCATCAGCTGAATAACCTTCTTCTTCTTCTTCTTCAAGATAATCTGCCTCCTTCAATACTGAAGATTTTTGCAGATGCCGTATACTCGGCCTTCAATTATTCAATCTTGGAATCCAACACTCACACACTCTTTTATTGTGTACTTGGAAGAGGCTACCTGTAATCACTATGAACATGACTGACAATGAGAGCGGACAAAATATACAGTTCCTCAGGTAGACAAAGGAACATCCCTTCACAGCTATTATGTAAAAAGGTGAATATGCATGTGACACCTGTTCTACACATTTTTACATAATAGCAGTAAGGGATGTTCCTTTGTCTACCTGAGGAACTGTATATTTTGTCCGCTCTCATTGTCAGTCATGTTCATAGTGAATACTCGAGTACAAATCTTCTGTCTGCCTGAAGTATTTGATTAGACCTGGGATCATTTCCCTGATTACATCATTCCCAGAACCCCAAACAATCAAATAATAGAGTTATCATCTCATATCATGTCTACTAATTCCCTCAAGTATGCGATAAGATTGTATTTAATCCGGACCTTGCACATTTGCTGATGGCTCTGATAGGCTTCTTGTAAGCCCAGTAAAGACCTGTTTTTTATGATACAGGTAAACTACAGTGGTTTACTATGGGGGGTTCTGTGCTCCACATCTTTGTATCTTATAACAAATGGATAAGTGACCAAAGCATAGGACCTTCCTTGAACTAATCTATAATTTTTATCCGTACTTGTTCCTGCCATTAAAGTACAAATCAAAATATTGTCACACTAACCTTGTGTGCACACACAACAAATTCATCACATAGTTATAGAATGAAATTGTGTGTGTTTACAGTTACTAAAGATACATCGTATAACCAAACACGGGTCTGGGCATCGTTTCGAACTAGAACTCAATAAAGAATCACGGAATGTGTTGTGTGTGGACGTAACTAGTATAACTGGTCAAACTAGAATGGTATACATGTAACTGGGCGGGGCTTAACAGGCCGTAAGAGGTACCGGTATGTATCCTTGACTGCTTAGGGCAAAAAACATCAAACAAATGATCTACTAGTACTAAATGTACAAGTACATGTAGTACTTATGGAATCTGAATTTGAAATAATTTGTTTTGTCAGAACAATCTAGAATTGCTTTTCCTTCATCAAATAACTACAATGCAGTACATGTATGATTCTGAACCTTCACACATTCAACATGTAAACAAAGTTGGAGACTCTTACAAAACGAAGATTCTTTAAAAGTGGTCCCTACAGACTGGACAGAATACTTTGTGACATGTCTATAGAATGTTGGCATCTTCATGATGACAGTGATTTACAAGTTAAATTCTGAAGATGAAAGAGGGAATGTCTACTTTAACTCTTCCCAAACTGGGGTTGTTTTGAAACCAAATGAAAATATATCCCCACTGTCTCCCACTTCCCCCCAGTGTTTGGTGTCATCGCCCCATCAATGACAAATTAACAATGATCCTGGCGACTGTCTAATGTTTGTCAGCTTGTTGTCTCCTCAACCCGCCCTGCCCCCTAGACAGAAGATAAACAACAAAATCTCCCCTGCACCCCCCCCCCCCTCCACAACCTTAATAGTCAACACAACGTCAACAAATGGTCATTGACATATGGACGCCCACATGTCCCGAATGGTCATTTGTGTTTTGAAGTGAATTCTGCTGTGGGAGTGAGTCACTAGCAGCCATGAACCCTGCCAGGCATACCATCTCAAATAAAGAAGCTCCTGGTGGTTAGAATACAACCAAGATGTTGCAGTTACCTACCATCTTCACCAACATCAATCTTTTCATTGTTTCATGCTTCATACTTCTATCAAATATTATGGCAAATTGGTAATTAAACTATAATTGTAACTCAAAATGTCAAAATACTACATTTATTTGGTTCAGAGCTCTGGATGATATAACTAGAAGGAGTATCTTCCATCAAATCAATATATAGCCAAATGAATTAACACTTCATGTAATCTACATACAGATGTTAACATACATGTACAAATGTACAAGTAAGGAAATTGGAATTCCGGTTATTTTCAAATAGCTTGGATAGAAAACCTGTATAATGCCAAGATATATTTCCATAATCTATGGAGTAAAGGGGCAAAATTTTACAATTTAAAAAAAAAAATCAAATGAGGAAAAAAAAGACAATCTCAGGCAGAATAAATGTATCAAATAATTACATGCTGGTCACTGACTTCAGTAATGTTTATCCCTGGGTCACTGTATGGTTTGTCTTTCTTGGCTCACTGCATGAATAGTTCAGTGACCAATAAGACAGGACACTCCTCTTTTACTATCAAATAAAATAAACTACCTACTTAAAAGAATGTCAGTGCCCTCTTAGTGACAAAGAAAAAGTCACAAAAATGCAAATAGATCCATAAAATATTGCATGGTATTCCATTTACTCCCTCAAACTGTAAAATGCATTTTTGTTTTCCTTTTGAATTTGATGAAGCACACTTTCTCATGTACGGTATTTCTCTCTATTCCAAGTCTCCTCCTTCATCTTTCTCATATTTCCAGTATGTAGGCAGGGCTCCACATTAACTTTGTTTAAAGGGGTTTGGATCTGCTAGTTTTTAGAGTCCTACATGTATGTACCCTATGTGAGCTCTTTGCACAAATTTTGAAATTTGGGGGGTCCAGACTTAAAGGTAATACAAAGTCTTGAGAATTTTTTGAAAATTGGCTGGATAGTGATTCTTTACAATAATGAAATACTTGGATGCCCCTGTGGATGTATTATAAGTACTAGAAAAATTAGCCCCTAAAACACTGCTTTCGAGAAAAATTGAATATCATTTTCTAGCGCTTATAGACATACACAGTGGCATTCAAATATATCAACATTTTAAAGAATTACTACCCATCCAATTTTCAAAATGTCCCCAAAATTTTGCATTACCTTTAATATTACTATACCAGAAAAGATTTCCTCCAAATGAAGCCAGATAACCTTCATAAAAACATCTCCATTGCCTAACATTACTTTCGTCAAGCAAAAGTTTAACCCAGGCAATTTTTAAGCCTGAAATAATTGAGGTATAAATTATGTAACATTCTCAGACCTCCGTAGTCGACATAGTCTCCAGTTATTGTTTTACGCCTTTTATTTTGTCTGGTTTTCCATTCCAAATACATTTAAAAAGTAAAGACTCAACCTCTTTTAAGAAGGATTGACCAGTCTTGGCAAAATTTCAATTTGACAATCCTCTAGGCTTCACGTGCCTGATCCCCCTCCCCCTTTCCCTTCCCCATGCATCCAGGGTGAGGGACAGAAAAGGGGAAAGTGAGAAATTGTCCAAATCGCCGCTTTGAGCAGAAATTAAAGTTCATGTACTATTGACAAAGCTAAGCAACAAAATGACAATCTGATGTGCAGGGAAAAAATTACTTTAAAAATTTGGGGGGCTACTTTTCAAGCTTGCTTGCATGAAAATAACACTCTTTAATTTGTTTTGCATAATTTTTGGGCTCTTTTGGGCATTTCGGGGGCTACTTCGCCCCGAGCCCCCGTGTATTTTTTTTCCATCCGTGCTGATGTGTTGGAAATTAAAAATGTTATGTACCGCTGGATGCTCAATCAACATTTACACGTCATGTATAAAGCTCTAGCTCTGTCATAAGAACGAAGGTCATACACAATATATCCCTTGTGACACGTCTGTGTTTCATTGGACAATTAGTCAATACCGTTTAACACTTTTTGAAGGATTCAGGCTGTTCAGGATTGAACAAAGCGAGTCATGCATGACTTCAGTCCCTGGATTACATTAGTCAGAGGAGGGTCTGTCTTTTGTTAATCCTAGAAAATCAATTGACCTTAGAAGAAGAAGAAGAAGAATCACTGCATTTGTTCTTCACTTTTGTTTACAGTAAACTACTCTGTCTGGTTCGTGCTCGTTTCCTTCTTCTCTCGCTCCTTGTATGATCTCTTAGTTCAACGACCAAATGGTACTGACAGATTCTCCTTTAAAACATCAATTTTCTGGATGTCGGTGTTAAACAGTTGAATACTGAGCACAAGACAACCTAATCTAGAGTCTGTGGATCAGGTGGATAATGCATGTTTGAAGAGTCTCACCACACTGTATCAAGCCTTATACTTGTAGTTGTATGAAAGTGTAATTTTAGTTTGTAAAGATTATGTACTTTAACTTCTTATTAATTACTTTTTGTTTTAATCAAAGGGCCTATTTTATGAACATTTTCTACATTGTAAACATTGTGCAATTAGTCCTTGGACTTTTACTTTATATTTCTAATAAACTATGCTAAATTGAATCGAGTTGAAATGAAATAGACTAAAGATGGTTTATATCATAATCCAACCTTGAAACACTCTGTAGTACGTGCCTACTTACTGTACTTACTGTACTTACTGCCAACAACAACACAGAAATAAACACGATATACATTTCTGGAAACCTGTTTGCCATTACAGTACAGTGAAACCTGTCTGTAAAGACCACCCAAGGGAGACAAGAAAAGTGGCCTTTTTAGGCAGGTCTTTATGTACAGATTTCTTTAGTACATGTTCCAATAAGAAATCATTTTCAAGGGAAACAAAACATATGGTCTTTTTAGACAGGTGGTCTTTCTATACAGGTGGTTGTTAATGCAGGTTTGACTGTACATATGCACATATTTATCTTTGATCAAATTACAAGAACAATTGTAGAGTCTATTTACACGGAAGAATGTATTTCTTCTAAAACCACCATGATGCAAACTAAGTGAACAAAAACAAGTAATAGTTAATTGGGATTGATAAATATGAACCGAGCAAGCAAAACATGGAGGCGTCTTCACTTTGGTAAAATCAAACACATTCGTTCAGCACCTGTAAAAAATGTGTTTGTTTCAAAAGCAAAATAATGAAGAAAAAAAAATCAAAGACAGATTTTAAAAAAAAAATTAAAATAAATTAAACATTGATTATGTAACATACAGAGCAACAAGATAAAGACTGACCTGATTACCAGTGCTGATTTCTGTAGCGAGTTTCACTTTGCCATATGTCCCCTTTCCAAGGGTCTTTTCAAAGCGGTATCTATGTTTCAGCTTATGTCGATGACGATGGTGTTTCACGCCAGCACTTGAGGCGGCGGCGACCGGGGTAGTGGCGGCGGTACCGGCCGGAGCTGAGGCGTTTGAAAGGCTGTTTCCATCTGACTCCTCTACCGCAGCTTTTACAGGACAGTCTCCCGTCATTTTCGATTCGACAGATGAGAAAATGCTGTCAAAATCTTGGTTAGATTATTTATAAAGCAGCTGAAATTCTAAGCTGATTTCACAAAGAGTTGTATGTGTGTTTTAATCAAGGATATGAACGAGCAGCTAATCCAGACAAAGTACCGGTATGAGTTCTGCCGTTTCGACCCGACTAACTACGAAATTCCAGATATTGTTGCCTTGAATAAACTCAACTCGTGAAGCTAACTAATCAGTCCTAAAATTAAAGTTAATTAAATTTATACACTCAGTCCGCGTCCGATACAAAGCTAGCATTCATGTTTTTTTCCAAGTGTTACAGGTTGGCTCCACCACTGTTGCTGTCTCATAAGCGAATGATCAACAACAGCGTTACGCTCTCAAAACGGCGATTCCTTTGTGCATCGTACGAACGCGTGCGCACTCACCAGCTGTGTAAAGAATAGTGTCCTATTTTGTACATACTTTCAGGTAAGGTGTATGTTTCGGAACGTACAAACTTTGATTGCAGTCTGTTATCAGCTCGCGTTTGAAACAGAAAAGGGAATTCCCCTGTCACATTGGCCAACCCGTTTTCTTTTAAACTGCGTACTTTAAAGCTTATCTGCCGTAGTTTACAGGAGGGATTAGACCGCTCTGCAAGGTCACTGGATAGGTGGTTATCTCATCAAATCAGCTCTCAGTTAACATAAGAAAAAGAGGATCATGGGGGACCAATGTTCACCGATTAGGCATTGTTTGTTATATAGAGGGCTCAAGTAGCTACCAGTAGTGCAGTGGGCCTTTAAAAAAAAAAATCTTATCACGAAAGTATCGTTACTGTTGTTGTCATCTCTCTAACCTAACACAATGCTCAAATCTCTCCCCTCATTTCCCACTTCCGAATCATTCCTGTCTTGTTTATAACTGGCAAATGTAGTATTTTTAATATTCTACCAGGAAGGCGTAGACCCTAATATTTATATCTGGTATGAAACCGCTATGCACAATTAGGTTACAATATTAATAATGTTGGTGACCAACAAAATGGTGCTCGGTGGCACCATGGATACAAGAACATGCTTTTTAAATAAAATAACTTTATTGCATTATGAGCGAGATGTGACTCTCATGATATATATCATTGAACAACATACTTACAAACGTTTGCAAACTTGTTATTTTCATATTAAGTTGCCAATACTGAAAATTTCGTATCAAATTACAGAACTTCTATGAAATTTTAAACTTCGTCGAAAATATTGTATTCAAGGTATCATCCTAGTTTCTGTATCGTCGATCTATTTTTAGCAAACAGTCATTCCTAGAATGTTCATTTAAATTTGTATCATTAATTGCACTGTCTATCGTGTATACTCTATATGTTATGATAAGACTAACCCAAGGGCATTGTTATACACTCCCAGTTAGTTGTATCCTTCACCTTATTCTTATGTTGTACATTAGTCCAGAATCTGCCCGGTTCTATATATTTTTTTCCCCTATATTTTGTTTTCTTCTTCTATATACATGTAATATATTCCCTACATATTTGCTTAAAGCCGCCGAAGATGGCGCTATTATGGTGGCTCCATAGAGATATAAGTATATATCTCTATGGGTGGCTCCTATGGGACACGCAAACGCAAACGTTTGACCCCCACCTGTCAGGATATTGTCGGTAAAATTGCGCTGCGGTCGGGAAAAAAGAGATAAGGGGGAGGGGGGAAAAGAGGGAAAGGGAAAGAAAAGAAAAAAAAGAAAAGGAAAAGAAAAGAAAGAAAGAAAAAGAAAGGAAAGAAAGGAAAGAAAGGAAAAGAAAGGAAAGGAAAAAAAGGAAGAAAAGAAGAAAAAGAGTAAAAGGGAAACAAAAGAAACGGGGGATGAAAGAGAGAAGAGAGAGGGGAGGTAAGAGCCTGAGAGAGGAGGAGTGGGAGTAAAAGAGAGAAGGGGGTTGTTGGGTGGAGTCGTCTCGTCGAGGGAGCAAGAAAGACACGGGTAAATATGTTGCTGTGTCGGGTCAGCTGTGTCGGTATTCTTGCTCGATTTTAGTGTACTTTATCAATGTTTGAAGTTTGAAGTCGGTGAGATGTTATTGTCGGTCGGCCGACAAGTTTGTTTCCCTACTAACTGTGACATTTTATCCGCTGTGACGACTTCGAGAGTGACTACAACTACAATACTTGTATTTTCTCGAAGTTTCATTTTTCTAAAATATCAGCTAAAGAAATCAAAGGTTTGAAATTTTCGGGGAAAGTAAATTCAAACAAGGTTTAAGAGTCAACAACGGTACGACGAATCGTCTCCCTTTCTTTATATTGTGAATTTGTGATGAAACGCCAAAAAAACCGCGCTTTGCGCGGAAGGGGAAACTTCATTTGGACGAATCGAGAACGGTAGAACGAATCGTCTTCTTTCTCTAATAATTTAAGGAAAGGTCAAGGCTTCCGCGCTTCGCGCGAGAGGGGGAAACTGAATTCAGATGAATAGGGCTTAATAAGAGTCGAAAACAGTACAACGAATTGTCTTCCTTTCTTTATATTGTGATGAAACGCCAAAAAGTCCGTGCTTTGCGCGGAAGGGGAACTTTATTTGGACGAGTCGAGAACGGTCGAACGAATCGTCTTCTTTCTCTAATAATTTAAGGAAACGTCAAAGCTTCCGCGCTTCGCGCTAAAGGGGGAAACTGAATTCAGACAATTAGGGCTTATAAGAGTCGAAAACGGTACAACGAATCGTCTTCTTTTTCTCATAATTTAATGAAACGTCAAAGCTTCCGCGCGAGGGGAAGAGAATGAATTCAGACAAGGATGATGAGTCGAGCACGGTTCAACGAATCGTCTATTTTCTTTAATATTCTATTTTTTTTCACCCCAATTTATGGAATTATTTTTGACAATGATTTAGTCCTAATAGATCTAAATAATAGTATACATTCTCAGATTGTATTGAATAATAATTTGCCAGTGTTTGTTTTGCGTGACTACTAAAGCATGTGTATGCTATTATGCTTATCAACTAGGGGACCTATGCCCTTAAGTCATAAAGGACAGTAATGAGGATTAATGCCCCACAAAAGGGCACTAAGATAGCACATCGACACGGTTTCGATCCTGGGGCCTCATAGTTACGAGGCCATTGCTTTGCCACTGAACCATGACTGTATGCAGCGGGGGCTAGGGTAGGGGGCAGTTCCCACAAATAAAAAACGAAACAAAGAAAATGCAAAAAATTATCAATAATTCATTGAATCCCCCCCTCCCCCCAGTCCCCAACAGAAAAAATCTTCTGTGTGCCCATGCCTTGAGCCACAATGCATGGCCGTACAGAGGATTTTTTATGTTGGGAACCGGGGTAAAATGCAATGGATTATTGCATATTAGTGCCCTTTTGTGGGGCATTAATCCTCATTACTGTCATTTATGACTTAAAGGCGTAGGTTCCCTAGTTGATAAGCATAATAGCCAGGCGCGTACGAAGGGGGGTTCGGGGGTCGAACCCCCTCAAATTAGGTGTGTGTGTGTGTTTTGAAGGAACCCCCCTCAATTTTTTTTAAATAAAAAAATAATTAAAAAAATTGTGCTAATGGGTGACCCCACCCCCCCCCCCCCTGCTTATTGAGCGGCTGGCTGAGTCGTTGCGAAATTTTTCATCAATTTAATAATCTGGAGGCTTCTTATTTTTAAATGTATACTTTTTGTTGTCCTCCCTTTCTTGTTCAAATGTAATTATTTAAATGTACAATCTGATGTTTTATTTGATTTTCAAGAAACAATTATTTGAATTTGAACAGAACCCACCAAAGTGTATCTTCTTTTTTAAACAAATGAAAGTGACAATGCTCTTAAAGGACCGTCAATGCCTTCAAAGTGCATGGTTATTGTTTTTATTCTTATTTATGACATTTGTAGTGCCCTTTTAGAACTTAAAACTGCTATGAAGGTAATTTTAGAGCCAAAAATATGTGAATTTAGATTGAATACGATCATACCAATTCAGTTCCACTTTTAAAAGAATACAGTGACCGTTAATTAATTTATTAATGAAAAAAAAAAGTGTAAAAACACGTTAATTATAACATTTTTGGAAATGGCCCTCCCCCCTGGCGCTCAAGGAGAGGGGGGGGGGGATTTTTCAATTTTTCGATGGCCCCCCAAAAAAAACAAATTAGTGCTCACTACCCCCCCCCCCCCCCCCCCCCCCCCCCCCCCCCCCCCCCCCCCACTGAGCGCGAAATATTTGCCGGCACGATTTTCAAATTTCTTTTTACCTCTGACATTTTTACCTCTGACATTTTTACCTCTGACATTATTACCTCTGAAATTACTACCTCTGAAATTTTACCTCTCATTCTGACATTATTAACTGACATTTTTACCTCTGACATTTATTACCGGCACCGCATGGATAGCCTGATTTTAGTTACCCGTTCGGATCATACGTGTAGGTGGTAAATGCAATGCCAATGCTTGCATAAAAACGGTAACGCTGTAAATAGGTCACCTTCGCAACGCAATTAACCGAATCCAAATGATTTGAATCCTATTTGAAAGCGAAGCCCAGATTTTGATTTTTTTTTTCTTCAACAAGGATTGAGGTTAATGATTGGATCCGCCTATGTAATTTAAAAAAAAAAGAAGCTAAATTGCCATCTTTTACATAACAGATACATGAAGATAGACCTCGGGGAAATCCCCGCGATCACATAAATATAGTCTTTGTTCTGGGCATTGTTCTTTCTTTATTTTATAAAATACATAATTGTTATTATTTTGCTCGGTTAAGATTGCTTAATTACGAAAAATTTATGAATCATTGTAAAACATCTTACTAGGAGTCTAAAGAGTCTATTATAAAGGAACGTATAGGGCCCGATAATATAGTTTTCATTGGTTTAAGTCTTGGATAAAGACTATTCTATTAACCGCGCGCGATTTCGCTTTTGAACAATTTCTGTTCTAACTTCTGAAGTTCTGGCTCAGTCTGTTGTAAATTCTGATATTCATTGTGTAACATACATTCTTTTGGAGACTACTACATCACTGACTACTTTGGATTAATTGATTGTTTTGTTCAAACAATTCAAGCGCTTTATTTTTCGAAGGAGGGACGATTTTTATTGCGAGTGACATGTCAGTATCTATTCTAGGGCGTAGCGGACCTTTCCGATATTCGTGCCCGACACTGTGGGTTGGCTGGACCTAGACTACCGCCTACCGGTATACCACTGCATGGGACTACTGGATCAGCGTCTCGAAGCTTTTTCTAGTCCCTGAGACCAGCGGAGCTGAGCTGAGGCTGAGACTGAGACAGATCTGCGGTTCAGTCTGAGTCCTGTCTATTGAAATGAAACATTGTCTGATGAGACCAAGCTGACTTGGCCACGAAAACAACTCAGTTAAACTTTAAAGTTATTTTGAATCTGACTTTAGAAAGTTAACAAAACTCGAGTCAATTCAACTAGCCAATCCCAGTCAGACAGAGTTGAACTTCAACTTACTAGTAGATCTACTATTTAATCTGAGATAAACTTTGTTCATTTAACGCTGTAAAAATGTTTTCTTCAGAAATGGATCCTCATGCCAATTTTGGGATATCTCTGCAAGGGTAAGTTTTTACAGACTTTAGTTTAGGTCTATCTTTTTATTTTAGAAGTAGCTACACTTCTTCTGCGACTATTCTTTTTTTGTGCCAGAATCAGATTTTATGAATTATGGGTTTGTGTCTTTGTTTTGTGAATAGCTCTGATCTATTCTTATCAGCATGATCAGATGTCCATGGTCCTTCCACTTTCAACATAATCAAGCTCACTTCAAGTTCAAGAATCAAGATCCAAATGTAGACTCTTGTGTTATTTCTTTTTCTTTTTACAATTCAAATTGATATGGCAAATTGTTTGAAGTGCTAATGACGTTAGATGTGCGAGGGGGTCTAATGATTCTAATCATTAGTATTTCTTGTATTTGAGATTATTTGTATTAAATTTTAGTTCAGGAATATATGTGTAGACCTACCGAAACTTCCTTTTCATTAAAAGAGTACATCTGGTCAATGTCTCACTAAACTGTCATAAGTATGCTGAGCTGAGCTGACGTCACTTTAATTAAATTAAAACATGTATATGTAACTAATGCAATTAACACACCTTTCAATGGGATGTCTGTGAACTTGTACTTATTTGGGTTTTGTGAAACGATGCCCTGGCAGCCCTGATGTTTGAATTTGGTAGACATTTTTTTTTTCTGGTCAAAGCAATTTGAAATAAGTCTACTACTAGTAATAAGGTCTACAGCAGCGTGCTGCCCAAATCCCTTTACTAGTATTACATGTGTACTTGAAAAAACGTGACAGTTTCTAAAAGGACAATATCCCTGTGAATACTTGTACTTTGAACCAATCTTTAGAATCTAATCACAATCTAATCTAAATACAGGTTACCTGAACTGGATGGTGGAGTAGAAGATAAGGGGAGAGGAGCACCATCAGGGGCTTCATTTGCAGGATCCAGATTCTCCATGGAGGAGCTAAAGAGCATGCAGGAGGCCTACATGGCGGAGGCAAAGAGATTACAAGAAGAGGTGAACGTCCTAGAAGATGACCTGGAAGGAGAAAACATGGCTGCCCTGAGTATACCAAGTGTGACATTAGATTTACTCAGGTAATATGGGCTGCCAAGTGAAAATGTGATGTTGCATAGAAAAACGCCATCATGTGTCCATATTTTTTACGGTCTCCATTGTGTTGTATCCAGGAAACATTACTTACGGGGGTTTAAAATAGCACCAAAAAAAAATCACCTTGCCGCTATGCGGCATTGTCATTGGGTCAACCCCCCCCCCCCCCCTTAGCAAAAAGCTAAATCCGCCCCTGTTGAATGTATGGTCTGAGATTTTTCCTTCCTCTTTTCTATAAAGAATGGACAGGCCAATAATTTCTTTTTGTTATATATTGCCAGCCTAATATTGCCTAACATCCTAAGTGCTAAATATATCCCAAGTTTTCTCTTTTAATGCAATCATTTTGTACTTTGCAGTAACCTATTTTTCACAAAAATTGTGTACCCGGTAAATTTATTGATTTTGATTTTTCTTGGGGGGGGGGGGGGTGATATGATTTCTCAAGTATTAAGATTAGAATATTATTTAAATTCACATAGAGACAGTAGTGTCCTGGTGTACATGAAATTATTATCACCTTTTATCCATTCTCTTTTCTTCTATACAAAAGGATATTTTTGACGTTATATTTCCATCTGTTTATTTGGATACAGAAGTTTAAACTTTTCCTGGTTTTAATTTATTTTTGTGAGTGTTTTTCATTTTGCTCTTCAGGGATATACTCAAAATGAATAATGAAGAAGAACAAGATATGCTTCGTATGGTAAGTGGTTTTATTTCATTTCATGATTTGTAAATATGAAGTGTATGAAAATTTGAACTGTGACCAACTCTTCTCGTCTTACTGATATGTTTTATTTTGTGGTCCTGTTGGTACTTTGTGCAGCTTTTAGTAGTATAATTGCAGAAGAGAAAGAGTATATCAGGTACAACATGATATTCGTTGATATGAGAGAACAACAAAAATTCCAATAAGACACTTGTAAAATGTAAAATAGAAAAAGTGTAATAGAAAGACATTTATGTCAGACAATATCAGTTCCTGGATTTCTTGTGAATTATGCTGCATTGTACATGTCAGAATCAGTATGCCTGCCAAAGAGAGTTTAGTATACAAATATGGACTGCTTTGAGGGGCACCGTTAGATTGCCCAAGGTAATCTCGAAAATGTACTTTGTCTTGAGATGAAGTCGAGGGACATAGTACAAATAATCCTTTTCTTTATTTTGCGTGTCTCACTGCGTGTATCCATTGTTAACTTCAGGGACCTGTTTCACAAAGCTTTTTTTCAATGACAATGACTAAAATCAGTGACAAATCTGCTGATAACCAATCAGAAGCAAGGATTTCAGTAGCTTATAACAAAAACTGTCATTTGTCACCGATGACAAGTTTTGTGAAACGCCCCCCAGGTGCAAGCATTGTGTCCTTGCATTGTACACACGATTAGACCAATCAGAGGCCTAGAATCTTGTTATGTGGTCCAGAGATGCCAACCTCTTGACACAAAAAAAACAGACTGAGTATCCTAAAAAATCAGATTTTCACTAAAACTTGACACTACCACTAGCCCATTGGTGCCGGGCCAGTAAAATTTCAGAAAAATGTTTTACTGGAAGTATGGTCAAGTAAAATGTTAGCTCTTTCATTAAAACTTAATGAGAAAATTGTAAAGCAAAGTTTTTGTTGGGGTTGCTGGGGTTTACTTGTACAAGTTTCTATGAGATTCCGCGGTTTTTATGGGGTTTTATGGATTTAAAATAATTATGTAAAAAAATGTATTAAAAAATATTTAAAAAATAAAAATAAAAAATCGTATTTTAAGAGGTGATATCGTATTATCGTATTTCACGCTTATTATCGTACTAGATACGATTTTATCGTACTAGTTGGCATCTCTGTACCATATATAATATTCTTTTATCTGCATATCACAGCATGAGATGCAGTCCAGTCTTAGTGGTGTCCAGCTGACGGATGCTACCACACAGGTAAGGAGTAACAACCCACACCGTACCGTCAGGTTACAGAGACTAGAAGGAAGCTGCTCGGGGCTTAAGTTTGCTGCTTCCTTTGAAGTGGAGGAAACCCTGGTAAGTCAAATCAAACTTGCTGGAGAGAAATATTAACATTTATTTGAATTCAAGACAGGAAATTCTATGTGGATAATCAAAATCTCCGCCCCCCCCCATTAAGTGTACATGTAATAACCAATCTGTTATGATGTGTTTTTGATAGAAAGGCCTTGTGTCATGCAAACCAATGAATGACTTCAAAAAAAGTGCCCTCATTTCTCCAAACGATTTCTTCTCCTGAATCAAATTGGGCTCTATGATATCAGGGAAAAAATTAATATTTATTTTTCGGGGGCTGCTTTTCAAGCTTGCCTGCATGAAATTAACACTCTAAAACTTGTTTTTGCATTGAACTCTATGCAAATTTACAGGGGCCCTTTTCTGATTTTGGGGGGCTCTCACTATGAATATGACTGACAAAGAAAGCAGACAAAATATACAGTTGCTCAGGTTGACAAAGGAACATCCCTTCACTGCTATTATGTAAAAATGTGTAGAACAGGTGTCACATGCATATTCACCTCTTCTACACATTTTTACATAATAGCAGTGAAGGGATGTTCCTTTGTCTACCTGAGGAACTGTATATTTTGTCCGCTTTCTTTGTCAGTGATGTTCATAGTGTCTTTTGGGCATTTCGGGAGCTATTTCACCCCGAGCCCCCGTGTATTTTTTCACTGTATGATATGCAGTTGAGTCTGCTTCAAGGAGTGGCCTGAATGATTTGCCCTATACATGCAATATGGTTTGTATATATGTCATCATCATCTAGTGCTGTCCCTTCGGAAGGGGTTGGCGGCTATGCATCTCCATCGCTTTCTGTCATGTACTCTTGTACTAACCTCTCCGTAGTTAAGACCAGTCCATTTCTTGACATCATCAAACCAAGTGATTCACTGTCTACCCTTTCTCACCCTCTACCATTCCTTCCAGCAAGTTCATCTGCAATTCTCCTCCTCTCATCACATGACCAACATAGGTACACTAGTTTTCTCTTCTGCACTGAGTTAATCAGTTTTCTCTATTTGTTTGCTCTGTTCAGGACTTTTTTGTTGCTAATTTTCATCACCCAGCTGATTTTTAGCATCCTGCGGAAACACCTCATTTCAAATGCTTCTAACTTTCGTTCTGTTTCTTTGCATAGAGTCCATGTTTCGACTCCATACAATGGAGTACTCCAGATGTAGCATTTACAGATCCTGCATCTCGGCTCAAAGTTTGTATTTGTTTTAAATCATGGTAATTCCACAGGGGCCCTTGTGAATTTAAGACCGTGATGCATTGCAAAGAGTAACTCCAGAAAGAGCCTGAATATAAGGGGAGAAGCTAGGCTACAGTTTGAACATTTGAGAAGAGTTTCATATTATTATTATGAAAACAATTACCAACCTATTTGTCTTACCAACTTACACCCTTATGATAGGTAAAACAAACTGCTGAAGAACAAGCAAATGCAGCCGAACTTCATGAGAAGGAGACCAATCCTGAGGTGAGGAAGGCTGTCATTCAGAATCTTGACCTGGAAGTAGATCCTTGTTGCCTGGGTGAGATGATGACCTTTCTAGCAGAGGCTGAGAAAGAGTGTGACCTGCAGCCGTTCCTGAGGGGATATGCTGACTATGCTAGGTGGTACCAGCATAGGATAAGGATCTACTCACATTTCAAGGTAACTAGTCCATAATCCTCAGCTTTATTTACACTGAGCGCAGAAATCATCAATTTTTCTGACATTCCAATGTTTCATCTGCAAACACGGCAACAACAAAATAATCAAAAATCCTCTTCTGGATTGTGTTTTTTTTTCAACGCTGGCAGGAATCAAAAGTGTTTGTTCAATTTTCATGAAGAGTAGACTTGGATTATAGATCACAAATTAATGTGAGATGTTTTGTAAATTGTTCATATTCAATTGAGTTATCAATCTTGGTACAAATTATAGTAAATATTTCTTCTGATGATTCTTAGTCAATATTCACTTCAAAATGCTGATTATATTCAGAGGACTTTATTTTTGGGGGCCTGCTAATGGGCCACCCTGCCTATAAATAATATCCCAACCTCAATTTTTCATCATATCGAATTGCGTAATGCAGGCGAGACCGCCGAGAGCGTTTCCCTTGTTTAGGACGCATAACTCTCCTTGCTTCCATGCATCCGCATGCAGAGCAGCAACAAGAGGGGCAAAGTCGGAATGAGCAATCACCAATGTTTTGTTACCGTTTTTTTCCAGTAGTTTAAAGGTACTATGTCCCATTTGCAGGCCAAAAAATGAAAAGGTTCAATTCCAACAGCATTTGAAAGACAATACCAATTTAGAACTTCCTTCAAAACGAAAAGGCTTGTAAATGTTTTGTTTGGGGGAAAAGAAAGACCATTAGTTGTCAAATCGGCTTAAGTGATTGCAATCACCTAAGTACATAGTCTGATTTTCAGACCCTTGTATCGAATGGTTGTACGTTTTGTGTTGCACAAAGATTCAATCAGTTTAATTGTGGCCATTACAAGAAGTGGGTTATTGATGTAGACAGATGCTCATGTACCTGTTACAGCTATTTTATGTATGTTATTACCAAAGATAAAGAGATGTCAGGTAGTCACCCGATAGTGTCTGATAGTGAAGTCTAGAAAGTAAATGGGTTACCTTGCATAATTTGAATACTATGACGCTGCTGACGTTTAAATTTCACAGATAGGACAAACATGACATATTCTTAACTCCTGCAAAGTTCTACAGAATTGATGTTGGCTGCAAAAGCGACATAGTATCTTAATTGCAGTCCAAACAATTGATAATTTTTCAAAATGGTGTTTGGGCTGTCGAAATGGGCCTCTATACTACTTTATGAAACACGTTGTTCCATATTATTATATAGTCAGTGCACTTTACATATACCACTACTTCTTGAAAACCATGAGCAAAACCTGTTGAATCTAACCCAGGTTAGTAGTAATCCAGTGGAAAGTATTCAAGATATATGGATCTTTACTAAAACATCACTACGGGCTCAGCGGTGTATTCCGTGGTTCTGTTTTTACTAAGATTGTCATGTATGTTTGATGATCGATGATTGTTTAACTTGATTGCTAAGAAAGCATGTGTATGCTTGTAAGTAAACAGCCAGGGGACTGACGGCTTTAAGTCCTTTCAGAGGGACCTGGCAAGGAGGATTAATGCCTTACCAAAGGGCATGCGTGCATTGACCCAGTTTCAGGACCACTGCTCTACCACTGAGCCATAGCCTCCCCAATGTTATAATCACTCACCAACTGTAAACCGTAAATCAAGTCTGTAACATAAAATTGCTATTCCACCAGTTACCTCACACAGCTTTCCCACTCAGTTATTCAAATTCTGTTTTGTATTTTTTAGAAAGAATATCCAGAGACAGTGAGCCTTCCAGATGGTCAAGATGGAGCAACCCTTCAGATTGTGTGTCCTCGGCAGAGGGGGTAAGTTTGTCCTCTGGTGGACTTCTTTGAAAGTTGAGCCACATTTGTGTGTTAAACTATTTGTTCTCTTATTCAGTGAAACTGCCTTGAGTGCTCCAATACTTAAAGATAAACTTGAGTTCTGGTAAAAAAGAAAATGAATTCTCACAGAATCTAACAAAACTTACAGTGAATGTTCAAAATTACAAATAAATGTCATGTGCCAAACAATTTGGGAAGAAAATGTATACTGGCTGAGTAATGACCATAGAAAGATAAGGAAATCAAGGTAGTACTAGCCCCAACACCATTTGTGTTGTTCCACATACATCTTTCTGTGTACAGTGATTGTTACTATACCAAGACTTGGCCAAATTTATGATGATTTTGATGACTCTGGAACCTTGCAGTACACACCAATACTTACATTAGGTATCACAGAAGAGCTGCATTGAGTGGGGACACGCAGAGCTCAACCACACAAATTCTCTCTTTATGAAGGAAGATTTTCATATAATGGAAACAATAAATATTATAAATTATATGTCTCTCGAAAGCTCAGGATTCTGTTTTTCATGTCATGTCATTTTCATCAAAATCCATCAATTACTTACGACACAGTTGCTTGTGATTTACCCTCTAATTCGTACCGTGTCACTTCGTTTGTCACCATTTTTATTTGATCGCTAATTTGCATCGCTAGTTTTAGCTCAATGCGCTTGAACGCCATTTGTCTTTGAGTTTTAAAAATCCACTGGTTGGAAAGAGTACATCTTAAGCTTTATTTTCATATAAAAAATGATGGGGGTAAGTTTCAGAGATCGTGAAAAATCAGAGTGAAAAGTTTGAAACAATTTTTCTATATCAGAAAAACATACTTTTAATTCAATTTAGATAATAGGAGAAAGAGAATTTACTTGAGAATACGATCATGTAAATATTAAGAATGACCGCTAAATGGCGCAAATCCGATGAATACAGCTGTACCCTGACACTATGAACATGACGGACAAAGAAAGCTGACAAAATATACAGTTCCTTAGGTAGACAAAGGAACATCCCTTCACTGCTATTATGTAAAAATGTGTAGAACAGGTGAATATGCATGTGACACCTGTTCTACACATTTTTACACAATAGCAGTGAAGGGATGTTCCTTTGTCTACCTGGACTTCTTGAAGAGTTTAGAGCCATTTTAAAAAGCCATTTAAAATTAATTTAAATGGATTTGATAGTTCAAACTTACAAAAATAATTAATCTATATATGTACCCCAGATATGCCGAAATTCAGCCCCTCTTGATAGATACTCTTAAATCTAGCTATGTTTCAAAACCCATGAAAACTTGTTCCGGCGATGCAAAAATAGCCATTTGTCACACGCATCAAAATGGGCTTCATATAATTATTTGAAAAATTCCACACAAAAAAATATTTGTCAAGAGAACCTGAAAAAAATAGGCATGTAGAAATCCATACAAAAAACAGATTTCTTGAAAAGAAAGGTGATTCATCAATTTTTTACAAAATTATATCACCTTGAAAATGGCTAATTGTCAGTTATAGCCTAATTACGCAAAATTTGACCATTTCGTCTCTTATGTAAGTGGCCGTATTTTCAAAAGTACTTATTCAAATTTGACAAATGAGGTATCAAAATTCTTCTTTTCATGTGCTCAAAAAAGAAACGGGGAGGGGAAATGAAATTTAGAAACTTTCAAAAGTTAGCTGTGATACCTACTTACATGCTATATGATCAACTTTTTCTGATCCGTTCCACACATTTTCTTTCACAATGTAATCGCATTACCAGAACTCACCTTTATCTTTAAACGTTGTTGTTTGCTCATAAATCAGTGACCATCTTTCTCTTATAAACATGAATCTCGATCCCTGCACATTGGTATTTCTCGATCACCCAGACATATAATACTAGATTCTTCTTCCTATTTCCCTTTCTATTTTTTCAGATGAGCACTGTGCTTCATGATACTAGAAACCTACAAAATTCATAACAAGATATTCATATTGCCAGCAAAAAATAAACCTCTGCAGATTTGAACGATATATAAAATACTTTACTTGTAAGCTGTATTAAAGTTCTGACCCTATCTGGACATCAGAATGACTGATTGTATTGTAAGAAACTTTACTTATGGGGCGTTAAAAAAAATAATATTGCATTGACTGTTTTAGAAGCTGCAGAATGTAACACTGTCTTTAACCCTTCATTTCATGTTCTCTCATAAATTTCAATCTCTCTATCCGCTCTACACTCAAGAGGACATCATACCGATATTAAGAGTTCAAAATAAATTTCATTTTCTTTATCTTTGGATTAGGATTCAGGTTATGAGTGTATCTGTAATCACACTTGTTTGAATTCTTTCTCTTTTAGAATCATCTACAGCATCACATGGAAGATAGACATAGCAAGGACTGGTAAATGCACACCAGAAGTCGGCTTATCGGTCAAATCAGCAAAAGAAGGTTAGTCAACTCGGTGTAAAACACGAATATTCTTAAAACCTTATTTGCCCTAATTCATAACAACAATTTAGCAACTCTGTGACATATTTTGTCAGCTCCTCTCCCATTACCCCTGAATTAAAAAACTTCAAAAATTCATATTTTCCCCATAAGAAAAGCTTGAAACGTTCAAGTTAGTCCAGCCTAATTGACCAACGATTATGTTAGGAAAGCATGCTTGACAAGTAAATGTTAGTCAAGATAAGCACCGTCTTGACTAACATTTGGCTTGTCAAGCAGATAGTCCATCCAAGTTTAAACTAGTCCATCCAAATGTATAAGCTAGTCCAGCGAGCATGACTAATGTCAAGCTAGTCCATCTAGTTAGTCTGGCAAGTCTGACTAATATCGTATCTAGTCCATCAGGTTAGTCTAGCAGGACTAATACACCCAGTTGGCCCTATTGTCCAAATTTAGATAAAAACTGAAAATGCATTGAAATTTTTTTTTTTAATAGTTCTTTTACAAGAATTTAACTCTCATCTCCTTGGCAATGTATACAAAATCTTTGTTCCTTGTGGTCCCCCTTCTTTCTGACAAAACGTGGGGGGGGGGGGGGACTTTGATATGATGTCCCCCCTATGGATAATTGAGGGGGGGGGACGTGTCCCACCTCTCTCCCCCCCCCCCCCCCAGGTTGACGCCCATGCCGGTAGTAGGTTTGAGCTTTTATACTTTTCTTCACAGATGACAAATTGTTGTGATCATGATATATTCACAATTTTTATGCTGCAATTAATATCTTCAATCTTGATATTTGCCATACCATATTCTGTGTATTTCAAACTTTTTAGTCTCCAAGTTGGACACCAAGAAGACACTGAACAGAGCTCCAGAAGAATTCAAGAACATGGTGGATACACTGGGAGTGGACAAAGCATTGGATACTTTCTTGAGGGCTATTGCTCTCCAATGAAACCTAGTGGGTTTTCCATTGGACATGACACTGTTAATACACTAACCATGTGACTCGGAGATGCATGTTTATTGACTACCGGTAATAAAAGCCTGCTGAATAAGATTTAAATATAGTTTTACACACATTTTTCATGGATTCCAGCTTGAGTTTTGGGGGATTATTATTCAATGGACTGATTGAAGGTTTTATATATATATATATATACAGGGCTGTCAACCCTCTCGCATTTGGAGGGAGTCTCACGCCACCATGCTCATTCTCCCGCCGTCCCACCAGCTACGGCCTTCCACACGCTCTCCCGCAATCTCCCGGTTTATGAAAAAACCTCCCGCCAGACGTGTAAAATGAACCAGCGTACTCGTATCGTACGGATTTTTAATTACTCAACATGGAGGGGGGGGGGGGGGGGGGGGGGGGGGGGGGGGGTGGGTAGGGAGCACTTCAATTTTGTTTTTCTTACTCAACACCCCCCCCCCTTCCCTGTTGAGCCCCCCCCCCCCCCCCCCCCAAAAAAAAAAAAAAATGCATACGATCTCCCTCAAAGCAGTTCCCCAAAGTTGACAGCCCTGTATATATATATATATATATCATAATGTTATTTGAAAAATTATTTTTAACAAAGCACTTAGCAAAGATTTATGCATTAAATTTGGTTACATTATGAAAATGGCCTATTAATTCCTTGTAATTCCCTGTGCACCGATATCGACCACCAGAATTTAAGTCTGGGTTGCATTTTTTAACGCGTATAGAGATGTATACAAATAATACACATCATTTTGGTCGGGCTAGTAAAATTACCCACACTTGGTACCTTCAAAACAGTCCAAAGACCCTCAGCTATCGCCTCAGGCGTGTTAGACTGTTCCAAAGGTATCTTGTGTGGGTAATTTTACTAATGCCAGAGCAAAATGATGTGTATTATTTGTTTGATAAGATTATGTTTCATTTGTTTTATAAACTGATGTTTTATAATATGATTTTACTAATGACCGGTCATTATCAAAATTATGTGTTAGGCAAAATAAATGCCTGGTCACGTGTACGCTCTCAACCAATCATTTGATTAGGATCCACGTCATCATCTTATGATGTATATTGACAGATTCGTATCAGTATTACGAGGATCAGTCCAATTGGATTAGCAAGATATGTAGTGTAATATTAAGATTTGTGAAACCAATACAAGATTCTTTTCAGTGCGTTGAAATTCCAGCAGAAAGAGTTTGATTATTTTCCACTTTTCTCTGCTATTTCTATTCTGAAATGGTGTACTTCTCAACAAGTATGACCATTATGAAAATGATCAAATGACTCATATAATTTTACAAAATTAACAAGCCTCGAAGGGAATATCAGAATATACAGGTATTTTCCTTGCTGGAATCATGACCACCAATAGGCCCAGTAGGCCCAATTCATTGACTACTTGTTTTACATGATAGCTAAACGGTTGTACTGTTAGACTGGAGAGTGTTTTACAAAGACTAAGATTGACGTTAAGTTGTACCAATCTATGGCAGGCCGTTTATGATACTGTTTGCTTTCACCATTCACTGGCATTGGTCTCTCAAGGGACGTACAAATCAAGGTCACAATTATACAGAATTTACATTTTTTGATAATTCATTATTGAAGAAAAAAAATATTATCTAAAGACCATGATGGTGAGAGCAAACAGTGGCCTGAATGGCCTGCCATAGTTAAGTCCAACATAAAGTCAATCTTAGTCTTTGTGAAACACCCCCCAGAAACTTTAACAAACTCCGCAAGCATCCAGATCCAGGCAATTTTACATATCATGAAAGCTTTGTATCGTTTCTGGTTTTGCACTAATTATAATTTCCCTTAGGCTTGCAGCTCTTTAGAAGACTAGGTAATTACAAGATTGATGCCAAGGACTCCATTTGGTATCAAGTTCGGTTTGAACACATTATATTAATCAGATCTTGACATAATGTTACAAAGGAAGTTTGTGCTTTACCTAGAATCGTAATCCATTTTTCCAAGGTACAAAGAAACATGGTATTTCATATAAATTTTAATTAACATGATTTTCACAACCACAACTGATTTTTTAAATCATATGTAAGTTTTTGGATGATGATGTTATCTTTAACACAGGAAGGCGTGAGGTAGTGTACAAAACATACATTGGAGTCAATTATCTTGCTATATGTTTATTGACAAGCTCCCTCTGTGTTCAGTTCTTTTTAGATGTTTGGAGTGAGAACATTATTACATTGTAAATAAAATGTAAATAACAGTGACATTATATATTTTAAGTTTTGTAAAGTAAGTTATTAAAGTTGGCAGTAAAAATCTTGTTTGGTGTAGATCTGTAGCAAGTACATGCATGTTGATAAATATGTAAATGATTAAACAATCAGTTGCTAGACTAAGTTTGTTGTACATTCCTGTCACTCATCGAGAGGTAGGTGTTTGTGTGTGTGTGAGAGAGAGAGAGAGAGAGAGAGGCAGACAGACAGACAGAGAGAAAGAGGAGTGTATGTGTGGGAGAGAGGAGGGAGAGAGAGAGAGAGGGGGTATGGACCAAGGAGGAAAGCAGAGACAGAAATACAGACGACAAAATTATAAAGAGGAAAAAAGTGTGGAATTGAGAGATCTGTTTTTTTTTTTTGGGGGGGGGGGGGGGAGTTTCTTATTCATTCCCCCCCCCCCCTCTCTCTCTCTCTCTCTCTCTCTCTCTTGCTTGATGAATGAAATTCCTTACAGTGAATAGTTCCTGCGGTCTAGACCACTGATTGAAAGCAAGCTACATCAACAGTTCCTAATATCCGCATCCTTTCATTTACAAAGAAAACATTTGATAACATTGTCAAAACATGTTTTGATGGACATCACTAATTCGTACATGTAAAGTATACCAATGTCAGTTGACTAAGAAATGTCCAGTACGCCTAGAAAACGTCATTCCTATCTGTTTTCTTCACATTTCAGATGATATATTTTATAAAATGAAGTTCTTAGTGAGATATGACAATTTTTAGGTAAAATGATGTATAGTCTTTAGTTTTCAACTTTTCAGTCATTCAAATGCTTTCAATACACACTTAATGTGTTTTGGCTATTGTAGTAACTTTCTTTAGTAAAGTCGAAGTGTTTAAAAAAAAAACCTATACTTTCCAACATATGGTAAAACAAAACACACAAGTTGAATCATTATAATTCGGGCATATGGACTTGTATTAAAGTACAGCTCCGGATAGGCTATCAGACAAAATAAAATGATGCATTCTGTCATCGCCTCTATAATTTCAAAAATATTCTGAACGAGCAAAAAGCATGCGTAGTAATATAGTATTATGACTGCTCTTAGTAAGATCCTACTGATTTGTAGAGCACAATATCTCCGCCTAAGAGGAAGGAAATATTTCGAAAAGAAAAACAACTTATAGAATTTAGATCTTTCATGCCAAAAACTAGTTTTAGAGGAAGTTCGGATATCCTGCCCTTGAGCATGAAAAATGTATTCCTTCTAAGTCGATTAAAGTTCCTCCTTTACTGTCTTGTTTGTGTCTTCGTAAATAAGATTACCTATATAACCGATTCATTCTCACAAAGACAAATATAATTTGAATTTTTCAACAAAAGTATGCATTGAGAATTATGACAGGCAATCGTTTGGGAAGTATGATGACAGATAGATATACAGAATATTAAAGCATATATTATTGAAATACAACCGTTGAAGGCAATTATGATGAAATTGTAAGAAGCTGTATTTTATTCAAATGTCAAGTTTCTTGAATCGAAAGTGAAATGCTATATTTTGAAGGCTTATTTATATTTTTGATTACAGATCGTTCCAAAAAAAAAATAAAGTCCCTCTATAATGTTTTCCTATATCATGTATTACTTTAAAAAGTGTGGTAACACTTTGAGGACCTCATCAAAGGCTCCTTTTAATTTGGAAATACCCTTTTTTTTTCTTTTCAAGGAAGAATCATATCATTTCGACAAAATTCATGTTAGGGAGCATACCTTTATTTCTAATAACGCGGATGTTCACTTGTCATACAACACTTCAAATGTTTGAGTGCATTCAGGCCGGCAAAATGTCTGCGGACGGCTTGTAACAACTTTGTAGAGTTTAGAAGAAAGCATGTGTGTATACAGACATCATTTGAATACTGAGGGAAGCCAGCGAAAGAGAGGGACCGGAGAGAGAGAAAGTAAAGAGAGAGGGCGGGGGGGGGGGGGGGGGTGATTGAGGTTCGGATCTTTTGGTGTTAAGTTCCAATACATGGAATCACACAAGATAATGTAATTAAGCTACTGTTTATTCTAAGAGCTATAATGGTCATAATCATACCACATTTTACCACTGTCCTGTTTCACGTCAGCAGGCGATCAAAAATTGGGGTGCCTCAAACAGCGCCAACTCCAGGAGATCACAATTGTGACGTCACAATTCCTACGATGTTTGCTCTTTGGAAAACAACGATTGGAATGTGAAGAATGCTTGTTGGCAGGCCCACGGAATCTCACATAACATAGGGACCATTGGTACATAATGTGCTTTGTTAAGTACTAATCTATTGAACAGGCAAATTGATAAATTATGGTAGGGAACATCGATGTTATATTTTTCACTATTTATCAGTCATAGCGTAATTTAAAGAAACGATGTTCACTTTTGATCATTTTACAGTGTTTCCTATACTCTCTTTTGTTTATTGCATGGATATCATTGACACTTTCACACTTATAATGATATTAATGGAAATGATCTCGATAGAAGAAAAATGATAGTGTTGGTGCTAATAATGATTTATAACAAACTACTCATGAAGATTATCAATTATAAAATACGCCCAAAATACTCAGAAAGTTCATCATACTATCTAACAAAGTAGTTACATGAACATAACCTTTGCAAATATAATTATGCAAACTGATAACGGTACATCAATATCGCCTCGGGGAGGGAAGTCGATGACAGAATATTCAGGAGGGGGTGTGCGGCAAATGCTTTAATCGGGGGCATTATTTTCTGCCAGTCGATATAGTTTCTTAAAGGGGCGCACTGCACTCCAGGAAGTGAATGGAACTTTTGACTTTTGAGAGAATGTTTGTGACCATGTTTTTTCAATAATAATCCCTGAAAATGGTGAGATCAATTTTTATAGAGAAGGCTTTTAACATTTGAAATGGCAGAGTGAAAATAGCAAAATTGCCATTTTTTGATATTAATATACACTGTCATTTTTCTATCAGCATTACAATAACTGGCAAGAGGCCTATATACTACCGAGAAAAATGATTCTCTTTTTATCATTGGTCACTGAGTCTACTCAGTCCACTATATACATGGCGGCGTTATCTAGCAACAAAAGCCGCGACAATTCATTTGCATTTGGTTGATAAAAATGGCAAAACTCATCAATAAATTAATTGAACATCCCAATTTGAGACTGCAATAATGTTGTGCCCCCTTAGTAATTCAACATCCAACATTGTAAGCAAGGGAGGACCTTTTGAAAAGAATGGTGTCAGTTCTTAGAAAGTTCATTGATCATCATATCTATAATTAGTCACATGCCAGTCATCTGCCAAGGTGATGATAGACTGGTAACGCGGTCTCTTCTACGCATGCTCCTTCAGTTGGAAGATGTAATTGATCTTCTCCACCATCTCTATGTCACGATTACCACTAGGCCTATAATCCATTTGCTCATCAACGAAATAGATTATTATTTCAGACACTATATTGTAAACGAGTATGAACAATTAATAATTTCATACATTCTAGTGAATAGTGAACGATAGGCTCTTAATAATATTATGAAATACAGTTTACTATCATGATAACATAGATAATTAGCTGATATCAATTGTGAAAATTAAAAAAATTATAGCAAATCTTGGTGGTCAAGCTAAAACTGATTCAACATAAAGTTGTTCCAAGGTCTTTTTATCTTTATTATCATTAAAATCATTATTATTATTTTTACTGATTTATGGTATAAAGTTGAGCCTCATTAGCTGCTTTAGGAAGCTAAGGTCAGGAAAAAGAAAGAATAACTTAATAAAAAAAGTGACTCGCATTACGTCTATGATTAACCACGCGTCGACATCTTAAAAGTTATAAAACAATGAGTTTTCAAATTATTAGTAATTTTATTATGTTTCCAAATCAATAGATTCATAAATGCTTGAATCATTCTAAACTTTCCAGTTTTCAAACAACTGATAGAAAAACAATTCTTGGATAATCTTTAATAACCTCAATCCACCCTCTCTCTCTCACATGCACCCGCAAGCCTACATTATGTAAACCTATAATAATGTTACCAGGCTACAGTAAGAAGTGACCAACAAGGAAACGTGTTAATTCAAATATTTTTCTGCCATTATTTTGAAGTCTACTCATCCCTTCCTCTTCGAAACTTGCTCTGCAATGGATTTTTTTTCAACGCACATATTTATTAAGAAGCTCTTAATAATTTCTTTTAGTATATTTGGTCTCTGTCACCTCCCCCCCCCCCCCCCCCCTCATTTGAAAAATTCTCCGTGATCTCTTATCACTTATAAATCCAAAAAATAAATATCTCCGGTTTTTCATTTCGGGTCTCAGTTCTCTAGACTACAAAAAATTAACCACGAAATGGCGCCCTTGGCATCGTAACTCGCTTGTCGTCTGCTAGCACCACTCAAAACACACTTACGCCGTGCGTTCTTCTCTGAGAGACCGGCAGGGGTCACTCTCTGATGCTGAAGCACGCTCGCACAGCCGACAGGTATAGATACAGATTACGTAGGAACAATTTATTGGACTCATTTGCAAAGAAAGCCTGTCTACCTAGCTCTAATTAACTCCAACTAACGCTTGATAGGAAATACATAGTGAAACATAACAGGATGAGGAAGTTATAAGCCGGTATAGAACCTGATTTTGAACACGGACACCGCACCAGACTCATATTGCCGAAACTGTAGCCGTATTTTCCGGCGTCTTGATTTGGGAACTCGGTACCGCTGAGGAAGGAATAAACCCGGTATATTTGGAACGGATTGTTTACTATAGATACTGTTGAATGTGTATGTATTAGCGGTCTGTGGAGTTCGATGACTATGGAGCAAGGGAAGGGCTCTGAAACGGGGACCCCCGTCTATATGGACAGTGGGGATGAAAATCCTGATAGCTACAATAAAATGAAATTTCACGCCAGTAAAATGGACCTTAATCTACGTATTTTGAGAGATCAAATGGTGAGTATTTAACTATCATCAATTCATCATGGAACTCACATTCACATCCCACTAATGCTCATTTAGGGTACAAATAAAGTTTCATTGTCGACAAAAATACTGAAAATGAAGTTAGACATTCCAATATTGTCTTGTTACTTGCTTTTACATGCAAAGCAAAGCTTCTTCTCATTGCAATCAAAACTGAGGCCATATAATAAATTACTAAAATGCTCTTTTTGTGACGGAAGATGTAATGACGTAGGCCAATATTCCTTTTATATTATACACATTAATCAATTTTCAGTCGATGTCTTTGTATCTTTGTCACATAAAACAGTGTTTGCTCGTCAGTTCTTTTCAATCACGTTTCTTGATAAATTATTCAATGCAGTCACGAAATATACCTTTTATATGTCATTAAAAAAATGCAAGGGAAAATACCTTGAAGAGTTAAAATAAGCTGATTTACAGGGGATGAAAGGGAATGTTTGAATCCATGGTCAATTTAACTTCAGGTGAAGTACAGGCTTTTTTGTCTTGAATGCATATAGATTTATTATTCAAAGAAAGTTGCCATTTCGTAAAATGACTTTCTAAGAAATCCTTATCCGTATGTGAAATTCAAAACTTCAGACTCGTATCAACTTTCATTTTAAGTCGACTGCGTGGATGTTGCATGACGCTATTGGCTTAAAAAAATAACAAAATACACGAGAGAGCTTCCGAGTCGCTTATTGTATTCAAGATCTAATGGTTTCCCTCCAACGATTCATTTGCATACTTTCCTTGGCTTACAGACTGAATAGTGAAATATGTTTAATGAGAAACAGTACAACTACAAGTTCAAACAATTTATTGAATGTAAACATTTTAGAGATCCTTAAAAATTGTCAAAATCATCAACTTCCAGCATCTTTGTTCATTCTTGATACGATGCATGTATTGAAAATACCATCCGATGTTCACCTGATGTAATCTGAGTCCCCGGTGGGGTCACTCAATGTGACTTCCGGACCGCATGACCGTTACCAAAATCGCGGAAAAAGGGGTCAATTTCAAGCAATGTCCGCGGACAAAATATTCCTCGAAATTAAGAAAATAGGGGGCACATGTGTCCCCGAAATTGATAAATAGGGGTCAGGAAAAGGGAAAAGAGAAAACCGGGAAGGGAAAAGAGAAAACGGGGAAGAAAAATTCTCGGAGCCGAGTCTTGTCCTTGAAATATGGTAAAATAGGGGTAAATTTGCGAAAGTGTCCTTACAATCTTATAAATAGGGGTATTCCAAAGTACGATTTCGTCCTTGTTTTGACGTAAAAAAGGGGGTTAAATTTCACAATTTGTCCTTGAAATTGACCGCAAAAGGGGGTTATATGCATTGGTGGTAACGGTCATACGTGTCACTCTTTGCAGGGGAGTGACCCCACCGGGTCTGAGTCTAGCTGTGGTATGCAAGATGGCGTCTGAGGTAAACCGTTCGGATGTTTCCCTCATTCAGTCATTCTCAGATGGTCGTGTGGCTTTTCGTAATGTCATCCAGTCATCCTAGTCATACAATGACTGTATTGAGAAGTCGCCATCGTGTACCCCTTTTAAAGCCTCCATTCATCCCGTTCTGACGTCAAGTTCAACTGATGTGCTTTGTATACATTCATCGGTAAAAAGATCGAGTGAAGTAGTATTGCCCTCTTCTTCTCCTCCTTGATATCATTTCATTTCTTTCATCCTCTTAAAAGTATGTCTTGAGACATTTTCGACAGCACTCCCCTCTCGAACCCCCCCCCCCCCCCCAGCTGCTACCCCTCTCCCTTGTGATATGGCTTGTGTTTGCTTTGAGCATAGACCTACACAGTAAAAACGCTGTTTAAAAAAGTGATGTTCACTTACAGTTGTACACTATCTTAAACAACAGTTGATCAAATTGTAAACAATGTTGCTAGAAACAGAAGTAATTTTGTTAAACATTCGTTGTTTAAAATTTAATGACTGCTATATTTACTATACGAGAGCTTTTAGACAGTGTTGTTTACATATGACGTCATGTGTCTCGTGCCAGTTAAGTGCGTGTTGGCTAAAGGCTTTATTTCACATTGTTATGTTTAGAAACAGGTTCCTTGAAACTAACATGCAATTGAAATTGACATGCCACTTAGAAATGCAGTGCAGCTGTTAAGGCACAGCTCATTGTTATTCATATTAGATGCATACACACAATGCAAGTGTATGCAAGGGCCTTTTGTTGACTACACAGATTGATACATATGTAAAAGCACATGGACATTGAGTCTGGATCAAACTACCAAAGCAACCACACGTGTTTCTGCAGGCTCCATCTTGTTTGTCTCTATACTTACATTTATTTAGCTTAATAGTTATTACTTTCCAACCCACAACACAACATCATGGCCGACCAAGCTACCGACGCGCTTCTAAGTGACTGGGGATTCAATGGCTTAATTGAAATCACTTTTCTATTAACCACTTTGAAGTTTTTAACTTATAGCGTAAGTTCACAGTTAAAATTTTCGGTATCTGTACGCAAATGTCAGAATATTGGTAGACTTAAAATCGTCGCGTCATGCAGTGCGGCACTGATCGCGCACTCGGTTATAACGTGTGCTAAATTCCTTGCCATAGAGATTGCATGCATCCCTATATATGCAGTTTATACGTGCGTGCATGCGCGCTCATGCAAAATGGGCACTGTTTTGGCGCTAATTCATGAATTGCAGAATGACCCTAGTCTTCATATACCTATATAGAGACCCAGAAGTAGTGGTGCACTTATTCAGAGTATCAAACCCAAATTATACCCCATTATACAACCCTTTTGTTGTAAACAACCCCCACTGAACAACAGCTCCTTTTTAAACAACTTTCTTTAAACAACCCAGTTGGTTTAAACAACCCCAACTGAACAACAGCTCCATTTTAAACAACTTTCTTTAAGCAACCCAGTTGGTGTAAACAACCCCCACTGAACAACAGCTCCTTTTTAACCAACTTCCTTTAAACAACCCAGTTGGTGTAAACAACCCCCACTGAACAACAGCTCCGTTTTAAACAACTTTCTTTAAACAACCCAGTTGGTGTAAACAACCCCCACTGAACAACAGCTCCTTTTTAAACAACTTTCTTTAAACAACCCAGTTGGTGTAAACAACCTCCACTGAACAACAGCTCCGTTTTAAACAACCGTCTCTAAACAACACCGGTTGTTTAAATTGTGATTTTAAACAAGTTGTTCAAAATGTTGATCAACTTAGTGTTTAAACTTTAAACAACTCGAGTTGCTTAACATTTTAAACAACTCTTAGATCAGGTCACCCGTTAATCAAGAGTTGTTTAAACTTTTAAACAACTTGTTCACAAAAATTTTAACTGTGTATTTAGTCTCTTCTACCCACGAATTGATCCTGAAATAACTAACGTGTCTCATCAATCGAGTTCTTTAAAATCTTTCCCTCTTTAATAAATCGCTGGATGAGTGTGGTCGTAGGCATATACAGGGATGAGAATGAGTCAACTCTTTCTTTTTTTTAGCAAGCTGTGCCATGAAAAGCCACGTTGACGTCTGATATATTCATAACATGCTAATAAATTAAAACAACAAGGACTTTGTATATCACGTACATTCTTCGTGTGTCTATATGATATCCCTTTGTTACATATAGCGTTTATTTGCCCAACCGCAGCAGCACGAAAATTGAACACGAACTCCTATAACTTCACACGTGGACTGCAGCTGAACTTTATTATAATATTTGGGCTATTTTCTCTAGCTTTACTGGAAAAATTCCCTTTCTATTCTCTTGAGGCCTCTGCTTAGTGAGGTGAATTTGACCTCGCCTGGCTCCCAACGTTAATTTTCGTCTGGTTATCCTATTCTAAAGATGGGGAAAAAGTTCAAGACCACAGGCATAGTCGGGAAAGTTATTTTGACAGGGGTAATAGAAATATTTGACATTTCAGCGAAGTTTCCCCGAATCACCTATGTACAATATACAGGGTTAAGGGAAGATTCCAAAATAAAGTCTCAATCAGCCATTTCTGTTTCTGTCTTCAACTTGCTTCATATCCTCCATGCATCTCTTTCCTTTCTGAATTTATTTCACATCCTTCCTCATTTTCACCCTGGTCTTCCAACACTTCTTCCACCTTTCCTGTTTACCAGATATGGTTCCTTAAAGTTAAATTCCTGTTTTGATATAATAATGTCTCTTTCAGGAATTACCAACGAGTAAGAGACAAAGCAAGAATAAAATATCAATATAGGTCCTATATTGCCTGTTGGTAAAGGGTCTCAAAATATATTTGTCAGATTTTTTATCAAGACACATTAAATTAAAAAGAATCCCCTGAAGCCTTGTTGTGATCTAAGTTAGCCTACATTTTGTTTTCATCTATCTTGATGTTCTCAATAGTCTCGGTCATTTTAAAAAAAAATTTGCTTGGTTAATATCTAAAATATAAACACGATGACATTCATTGTGACATTGATGTGACTACGTAATCGTGACCTTTGTTATCACTTTTCATAGTAGTAGGTATCAACATGGGGGCGTTTCACAAAACTTGTCATCAGTGACAAATGACAGTTTTTTTTATAAGCTACTGAAATCCTTGCTTCTGATTGGTTATCAACAGATTTGTCACTGATTTTTGTCATTTGTCGTTGGAAAAAGGCTTTGTGAAACGGGTCCCTTGACTATACTGTAATCATGCTAAACATGAAGGACAGATTGTACACTGTTACAAAATGCCCTTGAACGGTGTACCCTTGCCCGTGAACGCGACCGTCAAAGAATTTAGCTTTACCTACCCACACGCCAAGGTGTTAGGGTACTCTGAAAGTGATATTCGATATGTTGAGTCACTTTTTAGTAATTCCCCATCATCATTTTCGATAATTTGAACGTTGTGGAATGTGGTTTGTTGTGGCTTACAAGGATGCGCGGCCTCATTCATCATGTATTACTGGGGGGGGGGGGGGGGGGGGGGGGGGGGGACAAAAGTAAAA